TTTGCGCTTCCAAAGTTCGAATTCGTCCAGCTAAACCACCCTGGCGGCCAGTTTGTTGCATGTGCTGAGGACCCGAGCGATTCCCTTGGTAAGGGTATGTTGGGGGAATAAAGCTCTGACGGTTGTTACCTTGGTGACGCGGAGCTGCTGCTGGTGCTGCACTTGGGGGATTTGCAGATGGACGGCCGGCTCTACTGTCAGAAGGTGCCTGAGAAGTTACAGGGGCCTGGGTCTCCTTTGGAGTGGCTCCCTTCTTCTCTTTTGCAGCGGCTTCCTCAGCCTTTCTCTTAGCGACTTCAGCCGCATCTCGCTTAGCCTTTTCTTGGATCTCCCGTTGCTTCGCCGGATCCTTAGCAATGATCGATATTAAATCCATAGGGACAGGAGTTGGTAACTTGAAATTGTCGGCAAATTTCTTTAGCTCGGTCAATTTCACCTCCTTGTCGGCTTTTGCCTTGTTGCTTCGGACCTTCTCAGCGTTTATACGCTGCAGGTTAGCAAATGTCTTGAACTCCTTGAGAACATCTCGCTCGACAGTCGCAGTTGCACTAGGCGCGATGCCCTGGCCATCTTTCGACTGGGGTGAGATAGTTCGGCTAGTAGCAGCGGATGGTCGTAGCTGAGTGGCGTTCTGGCTTACTGGTTTACTTTCTGTAGGTTTCTGTTGCACCTCAACCTTACTATCCAGTTTAGGCTCTGCAGATTTAGCAGCAGGAGACACCGAAGGCACTTCAGCCTTAGGACTAGGGCGGAGCTTGTTATCATCCTGTTTCGGGAGAGCGGGTTGGTTCTTTTGTGCCTTTAGCTGCGAAGATATGATGGCTGGGTCGACTGGTGCGCCCTTCACAGTCGACGAGGCAGTTGGTGCTCGTCTTGCCGGGGGAGTATACTTGTTCTCTCGGCTATTAGGCAAAGGAGGAAAATCCTGTCGCTTGACACCGCTATACCTATTTCCGAGTTAGCCGGAATCTGGTGATATGTAATAACATGATCTGACTTACTTCTCTTCTTCGTTACCACCCATATCGTCGCCTCCAGCATGATCCATAACTCTCTCTTCAGCTACATGAGCTGTAGCGGCAGTGCTTCGCTCGATCTCTTTCGCCTTCTTTTCCGCAGCAGCTACCCTCTCCTTGTACTGTGGGTGGCTTTTATCAATTGCAGTGGTGTAAATATTTTCATCATATGTAGTTTTGATACCAAATTGGCGCTCGTTAACAGCAAACTGATCCCACGGAGCGTCGCCGCTGGACTTCTCCAAGCTCAAGTCGAGCCCGTCAGAGTTGCTTGGCCCAACCCATGGCTGCAAGGGTCGCTCACGACCCGGACGAGACGAGGAGATAGCACTGTCGGTTCGGAAGTTGCTCTGCGAGTTGATCGTCGAGCCTATACCATTGTTAGTGCCATACGTGATAATAGTTAATGAGTAGGGCATACCATTATGCTTAACATCGCCTTTACCCGAATTCCCCCCCATAACTCTAGTGTCCGACATATCCTTCTTCTGAAAGGACATGGGAGGATATTCTCTCTTGCTAATTCCGTTCGTCGACTCGCCCGAACTTTTCTTCTGCTGCACCATTCTCAGGGAACAGATGAGAGCGGTCAAGTGCCAGAAGATACTTTCGAATCCGACACACTTGACGAAGGTAATCCGAACCCTTCCACCCTGTACCATATGGTTAGTTAACGAAAGGAGAGCCGAGGTAAGCAACCATGAGGGTATTATGGTATTATGTTTGTAGTGCAATTGGTTTGGTGGATTTAGAGGTGAATGGGAAGGTTGCGGTTCGGGAACAGCTAGCGCGGATCTGAGGGAAGGAGGTGGAGGTGACGCGAATCCAAGCCCCGACGTATGACAAGAAGCTCGACGTCGCAAGAAGGTTAAGCTAACTCACTTGCTCGAAGGAATCGAATGAAGCTTGCTTGCCTTGCTAAGACAAACTTTGCTTAGTTGGGATTCGGGTGATCGAGGTAGTTATGGTGACAGTGCTGCTTCTGGCCGATATCCAGACCTTCTGCCAAGTAGCAGTTTGACTGTAGATAAAAACGGCTGGACGTCAGCGCATTAGAAACAAGAGGGTAATAGAAAGAGCGCAAAGGTGGGAAGAGTGTCGAAATGCGGAAAAACTATGAGCAGCTTGCTGCCACGAGGGAATGATTGCGAATAAGACAAAGAGGTGAATGGTCTAGAGTGTCGAAGCAGAAAAAAAAAGGTGCTTTGTTGACAAGGCCAACTGCAGAAGGGATTGGGAGACTGGAAGTAACCGGTAAAAAAAAAAGTGGTCAAGGTCGCTGGCTCGTTCGCTCTTCTCACATATCAATCCAGTCCTGTTCTGTGTTCCTCACTGGCAGTCTGGGCAGCACAAGGCCTCGTCAAAAAAAAGGGCAGGGCAGTGCGGTGCGGACCAGCAGCTGGCCACGGATGCCCATGCAACTTTAACTAAAATAATAGATATAGTGCTTTGGTGCTGGGTACTGGGGTTGCTGGGTAATACTTTTTTTTTGGTAGTGCTGTGCTGTGCTGTGCTGTGCTGTGCTGGGCTGGGCTCGGCTGGGCCAGGTACTGCAGAGAAAGGTCGTGTCTCACCTCGGGCTAATTGGTCAACTACTATTCTCCCTTCGGCAACCCCCAGCTCAGTGCTGTAAGATGACCTCGTCGCAGAGGACGCTGCTTCTTGCTCTAGTCTAAAGAGCGACGGTTAGTCAAGTTGGAGAAGGAGTTGATGGGAAAGTGGAGGTTGTGGTGGTTAAGGTGTCGAGGCCAACGAGTTACATAGCATTTTCTGTGGGTACCTACTTGTGGGAGACTGCGAGACTGGGACCTCTTTCCTTTTGATAGGTGTAGATGGTCCAAGCGTCTTTTCTGGCAGCGGGAAGCGAGGCCTTACTTGCAAGGCCTTAATTGGATAAGTTCAGAAAGGTGGTCTGACTGGCGCAACTTGCAAACTTGCAGGTGATCGTACGTATGTACAGGAGAGTTAGGTAAGGTAAAAAGGTGATTTTAAGGTTTGCACTGTATGATTCTGGACAATTGGGGTACAATTAGCGCATTTCAGACTTTTTGTTAAGAGGTGCTCAACGCAGTAAGTTAGCGTAGAGACAGTGCTATCATACCGTATGAGGTAAGTAACCTTTAGGTAGGTAGTTAATATTGAAGTTAAAGAAGGGAATGTTTTTTATGTCTTGCGCAACTGAATAAGGTAAGCTTTATTATGACTTGAATCATGAATGGTTATTTTTAACCAATAGGATATCTTTAGAAATATGAATGCAAGAAAGATGTGGAATGTCGTCGTTTAAGGTATCAAATAATTATATAGTTACATGCAGATATGTAGAGAGTTTCCCCTCCAGCCCCTCCTAATAAGCCACTAAGGGGTACATGAAGATGGGGTCTAAAGAAGTGCGAGTAGTTACACTACCTAGGTACCTAACCTATTCTAGCATTCTAACAATTATAACATGGAAACCTGATCAGGATTATGATGTTGAAGTCTAGGATATACTAACGTTACAACATCTACTATCCAGTGTAGATATACCCTTGTTAGAGAGGCATCAGATGTTGGCCAAATTTATTGACCATGGCGGCAAAGCTCATTCTGCCCAACATTTTAATTTGGCATTGCCCTTTCGTAAAGGTTACATATGAGACCAGCTTTCAAGGCCAGGTTGAATCTAACGCTTTTCGAGGACAACCTTCCAACTAACATTCATCCCTAATGAACATCATCGTCATTGAACATCGATCCCTAGAATGCCAAGATCAACAGTCCAGCATGAAACATCCTCGAAGGGAATTCATAGTTTACCGATAGTTCTAGGTTGATACCTAAGTATGTTTATTTTAGCTAGGTACATCACTTGCAGATACACTACGCAGCTTCTGTCTTATACTAAACCCTTCGGTACATGTCAGGTTCATAATTAGGCCGTAATATAAGGCAACACATTGGGCGCACAAGAGCCTCTACTTTGAGGCGAAGAGTGTATATTCAAATGTTTCACAGAGCCTCGTTTGTAAGCAGCCAGACAAACGATCGTAAGGTAAGAGCCATTCCATACCTCTACATAGCCCCCCGATTGCATGGTAGTTGGAGCCGATTGGTGTTCTTAGGGTCCTTAGGGCTCTTAGGGCTGTAGAAGGCGTGGGTGAATAACGCCCATGGGGCGAGCCAAACCAACCAAGGGTTTACTCGCTTCAGGTCAAGAGAGGTATTCGTGGTACATGTGTGACTACTGAACAATCCAAAAGTCCTATATCATTATTTATTATAATTGTTGGTCATAAGGTCGCTACTCATTGGTTATTCGTCATTTACTTTAAGTATCTGATGGTTTCTAGATGTGAAGATAAAGTTGAATTTGAAAAGATAGCCTCCCAAGGGAACCCCAGTCAGATCGGCAGCGCTAGATGACCCCGAATTCTAAACAAACTCGTTCTTTGGCATCTTTAGGTTAGCTCCGCGATAACCTGACTCACCATTGGTCTTTCGGAAAGCAACATCTTTCACCAACTAAAAGACATCTCTTCGTTTGCTGCAGAAATTGGTCAGACTGCGCCCCGCGGGAACGAAACCGCAAGTGCCGAGGCTTTTCCAACAAAGATTAAACATGGAGGTTCATAGTGAGGCGAGGGGCATAGCCAAAGGATTCATGAGGCTCGGATGTCGTTACCACTCCGACAGTAGCCCATTGTGACCCTAGGGCTATACTATATTGGGGGCTAAACATGAAGACTTTCAAAAAGTTATAAGTGAAATCTGCGCCTCGTTTGATGCGTTCCACGATGATAGGTTAGTTATAGGTTATTGGCCGAGCAGTCGTTTGATAGGGGTCCCTAAGGTCTATTCTTGGAAGAGTGATCTAGTCAGTTTGCTACTACGTCGGGTATGTAGTCTCACCTCATCGCTCGAGATAATCTATAGGGACCCGTTTGTATTCACCTACAAGAGACAAAGAATAGGAAAATAGATCTGCAAAGCTAAGCCCCCACCCCCGTATAATGTCTCCACGCTGTGGGAGTTCCCGTCCGATCATAGTTACGTCGAACCTGATTCAATCGGATGAGGTCCGCAGCAGATGATGTCTCGCCCGCAACGATGAACCTCGCCAATCTCTGCACCTGAAACGAAGGACATATGAGATACCACGCTAAGTAGTATACGATGCTCTTTTTTTGGTCAATACGAGTGGCTGATTGTTACGGGTTTGTGTGATGGTTGCACGCGATGATTCCGAGTTATGGCATTAAGATAACGCAAGACAGAAACCTCTATACTATTATCATCCAAGAGAGGATTTAAGCCTGATAAATTACATGCCCTTAAATACGCTAAACTCCGATCTAGAATGAATGGGTATGGCGTCTAGCTTGAGAACCTATTCTTGAAGAACCAATACGAATTAATGAGTCCCCAGGCTAAAGGATGGAAGGCTGCCGGCGTCTTTGCCTTAGCGTGCTCTACCATCACCTTAGGTACAACATCCCTCATATTTCCCTCGCTGAAAAACCACAGCTTAGTAACCTCGTCCGTCTGTCGTTGGTATATTTCCATGCGTTTAAACATATCCTCCTCGGCCGTTTGTATTTCCTTATCGACCTCGTCTAGCCCGCCTCCCGCCTGGACTACCCTAACGATTGCTGCGGCGAGTTTTCGCGCATCGTCAAACGCAGCGTTCACTCCTTCACCAGCGAACGGGGTCATCAAATGTGCGGCGTCGCCAATGAATGTTGCGCCGCGGCGATGCTCCCAGCGCCAGCCAACCGGAAGCATGTATAGATTCTTCGCTTCGCATATGCCTTCTTGGGCCTTTTCGATCGCTTCCCGTAGCTGTGGGCTCCAGTCGTGCATTTCCTCGAGGGTTGCTTTCTTAACTTGATCGACATTATGAAGGTCATATCCGCAAGTCTGCGTCCAATTTTCGGGACGACGCGAACACCAGGCGACACTCAGGCTACCAGTGCCGAGCTGCTGTACCCCCAACCTCTGCCCGTTCGAGCTAGCAAACAGGCTCCCGCGATTGACAACTTTATAGAGATCTGGCGCGGTGTTTGCCGCATCTGGTATCCGGAGACCATGATATCCAACCCCGGTATAGTGTGGTTTCACTGTCGGCGAGACGTAACTTCGGACCTTACTCCAGCCTCCCTCGCACCCAATTATGAGATCGGAACCGGACACTGTTGTATGGTCAAAGACCAAAGTGTTCCCCTCTTCGACACGTCGTAGGCGATGACCCCATTTGATACTTCCCTCCGGGAGCGATTCTGCTAAGATCCGGCGTAGCTCAGCACGGTCAATTTCAGGCCGCTCGCTGAGCTTATTACCAGGGCCGAACTGTATGAAGGGCTTAAGCTCCTTGTCGGTCATCATCATATAGTCGCCGTCGAATCGGCCGTGTTTCAAGAACTCGTCCCATAATTGAGCGTCCTTCATCGCCGCAAGGCCTGTGCCGGGATGTAAATCCAACGAGCCTCCTTGAGAACGATAATCTGGACTCTCATCGCTTTCATAAATTGTGAAAGGGATTTTGGATAATGATAGAATCCGTCCAAGCATACACCCGGCTGGACCAGCCCCAATAATGGAGATATTTAGAGGAGACATCGTTCCGCCTATGTGTAGGTTGAAGTTGAATATATGATGCTGATGTCTAAACTAGGGGTGTTGACTTTATATTCGTCTATAGTAATATATAACTTAGGTGAAGTGGTTTGGGGATTGGGATTGGGAGTCTTCCCCAAAGTTGAGGATACTTACCCAATATATAATAATTTATTAGTCAATAGACCATAGCGCAAGCAAGTAAGTAAGTACATGGTGATAGAGTCCTATTACTATTAAAAAAGCACCGCTGACGTGTCGTGTATTATAAGTGTTAACTGTTTCTGGTCGTATCTTGCGGTTTCAATCCGTAAAGCGGGGCTGCTGCTCGGTGCTCGGAGGGCAGCAATCGTCGTTTAAACCCCGAAGATGGTATTATTATACCGGTGGTTAGGTAGGTATGTACGTACATCCGGAGTCAATCCCGAAGACGTAGAGATGTTCAGCTCTGCCACATCGTACGTAGCCGCACTCGTATTTAAGGCTACTGCTTACTTTAGGCAACTATTGTAAGTTTTTAGGTCACGTAGCTGTAGACACCAAATGAGTTACCAATCTTAGCTATCAAGACGTACCTAATGTATAGTTGTCAAATATACACAAGTCGGTAATCAACTTTGTTTAGAATACCCAGGTACACTAGCAACCCGGTTGCTTAGTTCAATGTTTTAGACAACAACACAATTAGTCAACTAAGTAGGCTTTAGCGAACAATAGTATACTGTCATTGTACATAGCTATTGCTCAGATCAAACGTCATATGCAAAAAAAAAGAAAAGAAATAGTGAATGTAATTCTTGAAACATTGATTTAGAGTAGTTAGTTACCTAAGTACCTAGACTTCCAATAAGAAGACCATCAAACCCAGCCCCACTTAACACCCACCTCACCTCACCCACCTAGGAACTTTTACATAACTTAATCACGCCCCGACCGTCACCGTGTTTGACCCTAGCCCCTGCGTACCTATAGACACCTTTCCAAAATAGGGTTAGCGTTGGTCGGGCTTCCTCGATCTTTTCGACGTCGCGCCTCACGCGGGCATCAGTCATCCACAACTTGACCTCGGACTATGACTTGCTCGACGACTTTCCATCGCAACCATTCCACATACGCCAATTTTGATCATCGCATTCCCTTAGCATAACTCACTATAGCTTCTCATTTTGGCTCACAGCCTTCGATTGCCCTTTTCGACAAATAATAATATTCTGTGCTTGCTTCTCGAGATATTAGCATAGGGTGGACGATTGGGACGTAATCCTAAACCGATAGAGAATAAAGAGGGGGAAAGGTATATAGAGAATTGGGAGGTTGAGAAGGGCTAGGCTCTGGAATTAAAGTCAAGATGCAGGCTCCTCCTGCTTCTCAGAGATCGATACAACGACGGTCACCGGGGCCCGACGGTATTCCCAATGCTCCTATGCGCCCAATGTCGCCAGCCGGTATGCAGCCGCGCTCGTCAACGGCTTCGAATAGATCAGCTGCGAGTAGTTCCTCTAGACGTAATGTAAGTTAATGCCGTTAAAAAAATGCGTAACCGGTGTGATTATCGGTTGCTAGGCGGGGGAAGGCGGTGTTTTAATCTTTCAATGTTCTGCCTCATTCTTGTTTGCCCTTCAACCTATCTACTTTTCTTCTTCCCTTCTTCTTATTCTTCTCTCCTTCTTCTTTTCACGTCATGTCTATTCTTGTCGAGTTAAGATGTTAACAATATTGTTATATTGGCAGCAATCTAATGGATCGTCTATGCCACTATCACAAATAGAAAAGAGCGTCACGCATTTACTCGTTGCGACAAAACAACTTCTCGAAACGTTAACACAATGGTCGCGCGGCCAGGCTACTGATACTCAAGTCTCCGACGTCTATGTTAGATTGGGCTATGAGTTTAATATGGCCTGTCGCGCATTCACTGCAATCAACGTTGACACATCTGACCTAGGGAACGTCCCAGAAAACTTAAGACATATATTGGAGGCTACTTTAAGCCAGGAAGCCAACACAGAGAGCCTCGAAAAGTATCTACCGCGAATACGAGACATCATTATCCATCTTTTACACGGCCTGAAGAGAAAACAACAGAAACTGCGACAGAAGCAGAATCGAGATAAAGACGGGGCCACTTCGCCTGAATCAACTAGCATTGCTAGCCGTACTATGAGCAGCAGCACGGCCGGAAGCAACAACACTGGTCTCACAAGCCTTTTAAACGAAGGCCTCGAGAACGGATACACTACCCCGCAACAGAACGAAAGAATGGTACCATCACAGCAGAGCGAAGGCCTGCCAGCGGTCAGCCAGTCTCCCAGTCGACGAGCTCTGCAGCGAGACCAGTCGAACACTTCTTTCAACTCCGAACAGTCATCATTGTCGAGTAACACCATGCAGAACATACCGGTGCTCCTGCCATATCCTGGGGACGAGACTACGATACCTACAGGACCTGCAGGGGGCATAGATATTGATTCATTCCCACCACCCCCTCCGCCGCCGCCAAAGTCGCAACAGAGCGCGTTTGCTGCTCTGCAAAGAGGAGGGGATTTGGAAAGAAGGGCGTCACGAAGATACTCCGCTTATCAGATATCCAAACATCTAGGAGCACCAACCAATGGCGTGCCTATGCTACCTTCTCAGAATACCCCGATACCAAATCGTGGACGTGGGGAAGTAAGAGAATCGATGCGGGCAGTTCAAGTCCGAGAGTCTCTACGACATAGTCGCAACGCATCTAATCAATCCAAGAGTGCGTATGAAGCGTCTTCGCCGGTTCGAATACCCAGTAAGGTTAGCGAGGAAGGCTCGAAACCCGATCTACCACCCCCTCGATCAGAAAGTCCGCCGGCTCAGTCACCGGAAGAGAAGTATAGACCTAGTGCTACTATATCCGGACCTCTAGATGATGCCTTTCCAATGGTGGGAACCCCGGGCTCGCCCGAGAAGCCAAAGCCAAGGGTAGACACAGCTATAGAATCCAAACCGCGACCTCAAACCCCTCCGGAGAAGCAGCGGAAGCAATCCATACAAGAGCAATCACCTCCGTTGGACAAAGAACTTACCTTGTTTTTGCAATACAAGTCCAAAGTGAAGAAGTTCGTGCTCCCGGAGGGCTATACAGGCTTGACAATTGGGCGCCTGCAACTTGCTTTCATCGAAAAGTTTTCCTGGAACACTGCCCTGAACGGAAGCGACCTCCCAGAGATCTATATCCAAGATCCCATCTCTGGGGTGCGGCACGAGCTCGAAGACCTGTCTGACATCAAAGATCGTACAGTTCTTGCGCTCAATGTCGAGCCCCTTGACGAGGTCAAGAAGCACTTCGACGAGGGTTTTGGGGCCCTAAAGAAGGTAGTAGATGAGATGAAGCAGAACGTCACCGATCAGGGATCTGCTTTACAAAGAGTATCGGATAGGCAATTGGAGACGGCCAAGGAGATGGCTCGTATGGCCTCAGCGCCACCGGCCGTCATGGATGGTGTTAAGATTAGTGGAGTTGGCGCTGGCGCTAAACTCAATCCTAGTCAACTTAGGGAGTTGCAGACTCTGCGGCGGGATCTAGCCATCTTACGGCAGACGTACTCAAACTTCCAGACAGAGATACAGAGCTCTATGTCTTCTCTACGAAACAAAGCAGCCAATGTTAAGGTTGCGGCTGCCAAGGCTTCATCTGCGGAAGGTGACTCCGGATACTCTTATGTGACGAAAGGTCGTAAGCAGCTTAATTCAGACTCGGACCGCCTCGTTACCAAGGTGGACGATCTTCAGGACTTAGTTGAGGACTTGCGCAAGGACGTCGTTAATCGCGGCGTGAGACCCTTGCCGCGTCAACTGGAGAGTGTATCCAAGGATATCCAAATCCTGACCAAAGAGCTCAAGAAGGTTCAAGAGTATATGAAGCGAGAGAAGCCCGTCTGGACCAAGATTTGGGAGAAAGAACTGGAAGAAGTTTGTCAGGGTCGTGACGAACTTAAGGTTATGGAAGACCTAATGATTGACTTACAAGACGACATCGAAAAGGCCTCTGAGACCTTTGCATTGGTTGAACAAGCCACTAAGGAGCAGATGAAGGACAATACGCCGACGGCACGGCAGTTCTCGAAGGGCTTGCATCATCTTGGGAACAGCTCTGATCCAAACGCTGCAAAGGAGGGTGTACTAGGCGAGGTCAGAGCTCTGCAGCCGAACCACGAAGACAGGCTAGAGGCCATAGAACGTGCAGAGAAGCTACGACAGAAGGAGCTAGAGACCCGACAAGGAAATCCCCTGATGAAGGAGTTGACTAAGTTCGTTGAGGATGGGAAGCTGAAGAAGAGCGGAGGATTTGAAGAGGTTGAACGAGCGAGGAAGGCCAAGGATGACCGAATACGACGGGAGGTTTGGGAACGAATGAATGGCATAATACCCGAGGACACGGTCGGGGAGGATGGAGAGGAAGAGGAGGAGGGGGAGGAGGAAAATGAGGCAGAGGCAGAAACAGAGGCGGAGGCGGAGGCGGAGGTGGAGGCGGAGGTGGAGGCAGAAGCAGAGAGCCCCGCTAAGACGCCGGACGATGATGATATATAAGGCTATAATCCTGCTCATAAGATGTGCATCCTAGCTCTTCGTCTTGTTTCTAGTCATGACTGGCGTTATTCGCGCATAGGTCGGACGGCTTTCACTTGGCCGCCCGAACCTTACTTTTGCCCCGACAGCTTATTTTAGTTTTGCCCTTTGCGTTTTAGTATGACCCGGGGTGCTGCTCTTAGCATCAAGAGACAAACAATGATTTTTTCAGTTATTGACTATTGGTCAACGAAATATTTACTGTTAGTGTACGGCGTCTACTAGTAGATACAGTCAAGTTCTCGAGCAAACGAACATGATGTACGTACATTAACCCCTTGATGTATCAATATAACATTAGACACCGTTGTACAATACATATTGTATAAACAGGTAATAATTAGCTTAAGGCATGTGAGCTTTTTGATGTCCTACTTTGAGCTGGGAACGTAATCTAGGTATTCATACCCATAAACCTAATCTTAAAACTCGCATAACTATCGGTTGATAGAGTAGCTCTTTATGATGAAAGTAATCACGTGTAATATTACCAGGTATTTTTACGGTGCCAATAACTCACCTGCTTGGCTATTGTATCTCTTGCAATATGTGCTGACAAGAATGTTAGACTTCTTAAGACTTAATAACTAGCGCAAATAACAGTCCTTCTCGGGATCCGTCCACGACGCATCGACGGCGTACTCCCATACGGGCTCGGGATGATTAGATATCATGTCCAACGCGTAGAAGAAGCGGCAGTTTGCCGGGCTCGTAAAGGAACTGAAGCGGCGTCTTTGAGTCGGAAGGAGAGAAGTTGTTCTTGAAGTTTACGCCACCGGGACTGTTTAGGTCGGCGGCTCGCCGCACGGCATAGGCCTCGTTGAGGACGCCGAGATCGCTATCCTGGGGGGTTTTTCGGCTGTGCTTGGCTCTGGCCGCCGACTAGGCTGAGCGCTACAAAGGCAGCTTGGGCAATGTCGCTCATTCCAAGACTTTGGCCTCCCTATTTACTTGATTTTAGTATGTATTCATATTTGTAAGTTAGGTCCCTATAAGACTGGATGGGGAACTTACCTCGACACCGCCTAGGGATTGCATTTGTGTATTTTGTGGACGTCCTCCTACCGATACCGTCTTTACGCGCTCTTGGAAGAGCATGAGATATGAGAATGTTGTGCATGTTGAGCTGCATGCCCCGTCTGTAAGCAATACAATGTTCTCCGGTTTAAAGGGGCTTCCGTTTCCGTTTCCGTTTCCGTTTCCGCTCGCAGCGAGCACATTGTAAGGCTCTCCTATGTATTCCGTAAATTTGTCGTTTTGTAGAGTCACTGGCGACATGATATCCTCGACAGTCATAAATTTGTCACCTTGTTTTCAAAAGTGAAGGCCTTAAAGACATCAGGCGTATAGAAGAAATGACCATCGTGTGCTAAAGATATCGTTTGTACAATTGCAACCTGAAAGTCATACTCACTCTCGTAACGTCCTTGTTTAGCTGTCTCAAGTATCTTGTCTAAACTTCCCTGTATATCGACTGCAGGAAATCCATAAGACTTTGGAGGATTCTTCAGCCAAGCGAGGGTAGACTGCCATTCCACGAAGGCTTTGAGACTTTGAATGAGCTGCTGTGCTGGTTGAATCCGGTTCGGCACTGAGCAAAGACACTCATACGCAAAAGACGCTGGGAAGGTTGATGCGCCTGGAAGAATGTTAACATACTATGAGCTACTCTGAAGTTATAAATATACATACCTGAAGAAGATATACGTGCACATGCCTTTGGGTCCACCCTTGTCGTCGCTGATGGTGCTGCTTGAGGAGATACGAATGCTGATACTCCTATAACCGCAGTAAACAAAAGCAACTTGTGCATTTTGGTAAGGGACTGGATAGATCAACTACCCGAAAGCCCTTTAAAATAGTACCGATTTGGTTTATTATTAAAGGATAACAGACGACGCGAGTAATGACTATCACTAAATGTGACATGATCTAAATAAATTCTAGCCGTTATTATATACAACTTGAACTCGTAGGACTATCCGATCTCCAAGATGTTCTCATAGTAAACGTCTCTTCTGGTAAATATGATAAATTCATCGTGAAACACCTCGAACTTCAAACTAGAGCTGAGTGATTCAGCATATGCATCTTAACTTCATGACTTCGCGTCAAGATGCCATCGGAAAGATCTTCAGCCTCCTGTCCGCGCTATAGTCTGTAACGGCCGAGGACCCTACATGTTTTGTGTTATTCGTAGAATATTGCCGTATACATGATTAGATTAGGTAAGTAATTTCATCAATAGTATTGGTTGGTATGAACCTGAAGCCACTGCTTAGTGAATGCTCCTTGTAGCCTTATATCCCCTATAAGTCTAAACCATTAGGGCTAAATATAGTATTCGAAGAGTATGACCCTAAAGGATATATCTCGATAGGGCTGTTTCGAGCCACTGTTTTTTCTTCTTAACAAGAACAGAGACTGATGTGATTAGCTTTCATGAAACCAACATTGCCAAGGCTTTAGAGATGAGCTGCAAGTAGCTAAAACCTGCCAAGAAGCATTTATGATCTGATAAAGGGGAAATCTCAAGACTAACAACTCGTCTCTAATTTTCATGATTGTTGGGGAACTTTACTGGATTTAGTTCTTTATTATGTGCTTAGGACACCTAGTGAGTAGTTGATATATCCGTGTTAGGTATACTAGTGCCAGCAAGATATTTTGTATTATCATCGGTGGCTTGGAAGGAGTTTGGAAGTTGGAGGGAAAAAAGTTTATGACTTTCCTTGGACCTTAGCCTTATCATCATAGCCTGTAGATCTTGGTATATTAAAAGACATTTCCGATCCGATTAAGAAAGTAATAGATAAAATCTAATATAACTTTAAAAATTGAGGACGATTTTACTTTTTACTATCGGGGCTAAGATACCTACGCCTCGCTGTCGCCATCTCTCAATCGGCTATGGGGGCTGTGGAGATATACTGCAGGTAAATGGAGGTAATGTATCTATATATAAGCTATTCAGGTGGCTAGATGTGTATACTCTTGTGTGGCATGTAATAGTAGTATGTGGCCTTTAAATGCAACTGTACGGTATCTGTATAGTTAGATAGCCATGTGCTACTGCGGAGTAACTCAGCAGAAATGTAGACTTCATATTGTTTTTGGGATGGGGAATATGAAAACTGAAAAAGCTGCTAGTAGTCTGGGTATATAGATCATGGACAGCTCCTCATGATCAGGGGGAGAGGGGGCAGTCGTCAATGCAAAGGGACTACAGGTAGGTAGGCAAAGACGACAAGGTTAACAGTCCTCGACGGCGACAAACTGTTCGAGTTATATAAGATGTAATGATAGTCACGAAGGCATCAAGATAGGGACTATTTTTACGTAGTTTTTATTGTTTACTACTGCTTAGCGAACGAGTTGTCCATATGAATGGCTCGTCTGGAGCGCTAGACGCTCGTGCGTTTACACCTTAGCGAGGTGAAGTGCAACTTGTTATGGGTATACCCAATCCCACCGTTTCGTAATTCATGTCCCAAGCTTATAATTTCAAAAAAACAAAACATCCGACCGATAACTATTTAGCGACGTGATTGCTCATCTTGTCCATCTTGTCGATGCCGTACTTGATCCGTCGGTCGACGTTCTTGGCTACCCTTTCTAGGGGCAGTCGGTTGTCGATCCTCTTTACGGTTCGTTCGACGCGAGGTTCTACGCGTTGAGCCATTCTTTGGGCGGGAGGAGCGAAGTATGAGATGTTACGTTCCCATCGGGGCGCCCATCGGGCAGTCTGTGATGCTAGGTGTTCTGAGGCGCCGGGGAGTATGAAGTAGAATGGAGCAAAACCTGCGACGCCGGCTACGCCGTACGTGGCGAGCTCAGTTCTGTTGGCCCTGGGGATACGGATCGGCATTTTATATTGTTTTGATGTTTTGATGATGGTTGAAGTGCTTCTAGGTCTGAATGACGTGGCTTAAGATGTTCGTGGAGAGGTAGGTCGTATAAGTAGATAGTTTGGAGATATGTAGGTATGAATTCTTGCGATACACCTAGATATCGAAGCTAGTTCCTTGTTCAAAAGATTCAAGTAAGATAGGATTCTGTGCAACTTCTCACATGTTCAGATCTCGAGGGAGTCGCTTGCTTTTAAAGGGGAGAGGAAGGGAAGGAGGGAGAATCGTAGGTAGGCTGATACTTGCCCCCCCTTATATTGGCCCATCCTGGCCTGATGGTTGCTTTGGCTAGGGAAAGACGACAGTAAGGAAGAAGCGGGGTAGACCAATAATAACAGGCCATGATACTTGCGTCAACCTTCCAAGGACCAATCATGTAGGGTATGCTCTAGGATTATACTCTGGGATTAAGTTTAGATAGTACATAACCGTACAGCAGCGTCGACATGCCATAGGCCAGACCCTACGTACAGAGTGACGCCGTCGCTTTGATTGCTTACCACATCGTTTATCCATGTAAAGTATCCATTACGTTCGTAGTTGTACGAGAGCTGATATTAAAATTGATAGATGATTCGCGAACCGGGGAGGTATAAGGTGTGGGAGTTGGGGTATTATTCCCATTACCACGCCACACTACACGGACAGGCAGCGCAGCAAGCACCTTGTCGATGTCACTCGACTATAATTATTCTCAAGGTTTTATTCGCTGCCATTTTATGTTTTAACATCATGTGTTAGAGCCTCATCTTTTACGAATGCTTGTTGGTTTTTGTTTTTGTTTATTTAAATTCTTGGGGGACTAATATGAAAATAATAATAATAATAATCATAGACATCTTCTCACGTGCGAAGTCTAGAGCAAAGTGGGCCCAGGGGCCCTTCCCCAGACGCTAAAACGGCTGCTTGCCCCGCTTCCCCAGAGTGGATCTACGCTACTGCCACAACTACCTGGTACATAGGCCAATGCTGTCTTTGCTCCAGAAGAGATCCAACGTAAACCGTGTTTCGGTTAACACTGTATTTCATACCCTAAGCTACCTCTACATACTTGTCGTCTAGCTGCCCTACATAAGATAAATAAGGTACCTAGGAAATCATGCTCAGAGAATCATGCTCTAGTCAGGCGATATTAAAGTTTCAAATCAATCTGGTGTCGAGTCATTTGAGACTCGTGCAGAGCATCGATCCCCGTCGTATGATTAATGGACAATTATCTTGCTACCACGTCCGACTGCTTTGATCATCCATGGCCAATCTAGGTTCGGGGCTCGATCTCGGAAGCAAGGACATTTGGTCCGTCGACTAGGTACCTACATATGGTTCACTCCGCTCTCCAACGCCATAAGTCCACTTCACAGGCAGCATGGAATTCGTCCGCCGATATCTTTTCCTTTTTTCAACTCGGGGAATCGATTACACAGTCCGATGAGCTATGGGCATAACACAAAGCACAATTCGACCAAGTAGTGGGGAAAATAAGTACGTTTTTTGTGTAGAGGGCTAACAAAACTAACTCCTCTGCTCCTTTCTCGATAGTCCCAGGATAGACCTTTTAAGAAGCAAACTTTAAAGCAAGAGCATTACGAGAGCCGAGAGAGTACTTCAGCATGCGAAAGCGCCACGCCACAGACAAGCGAGTCGAGAAGATCTGCTATGAGTAATTAGAATAGGTAGGCGATTGTCCCAATCGACACGGTGGCATGGGATTTTACGTCACAGCGAACTTAGAATCCTACCTACTTTATTAGTAAGGCTCCCTATCACTACCTAAGTAAAGAAGAGTAATATATATGCCTACCTCCTAGGCAATGTGGGATTGTAATTGGATCTAAGACTATCCAACTATATTCAGGCTGACTATATTTTCGGGTTTACGCTTTTCTTCTTCTTTCGAATCTTTCCGTTCGGGTTTATTTACTTCATTATTATGAATAAACACAAGCTACCTACTCAGGTAGGTGTCTCTAATAGGATGGTATTTGATCACCAAGCCCAGTTAGGTACCCGACTTTTCTATACTACGCGCCACTCCAAGCTCTCCCTCTGAGATATTCGCTCAACCTAAACGCGCCCTCTTTCTTAATTTTATCTCGGATAGTGTGGTAGACGCGAAACCATTCCAGCGCATAGTGGTTCTGGATTTGGGCTGGGAAGTATCTGCTCAACGACGGGCTGCTATTTATATATTCCCACCACGACGGGTAGAAACCTGCCAACTCCCAGTCGATAAGCCCGGCGAAGTTGCCGTCTTTAATCATAACATTTCCCTCGTGCACATCGGAATTACTAAAGGCAAATGGCAGGCCAGAGGGCATTTTAGCCATGAATGCGTCGAGGTTTGGTTTATCAAGTCGATGTGCGATAGAGAGCGCCAAGTTAGAGGCAAGATCACTATCCGTCGCGCAGATCAGGTAGTCTCCAGCCGATGAGTCCGGCAATGGCCTGAATAAACGCCAGTCATTGACCAATCGTCCGTCAAGCTTTGCTGTATGTGGAAGAGTGATGGTCTTGAGATCAAGAAGGTACTAACCTAGCTGTTGGCCGATGCGAGCGAGGTCTTGCTGCGTTAATCATGGTAACGCATTGTTAAGCGATTCGCCCTTAATACGACGTTCTATGATGACCTCCCTCTAATGTAGTTCTGTTTTAGGGATCGGTGGCATGCCCTGCCTTTCCCCGAGTCTCCTCCTGACGAGGTCAGTATTTTGAATCTCGATTTCACAGCCTGGGTAGTACGGCCGGTGCTTTAAGATGTAACTAGCTCCGAGAGCCTAGACACCGCGGTCACCTGGTTTCTGGACGAGGAGTTGGCAGCCGGGCTGAGACTTGCTAGTCTCAGTTTTCAATAAAGGCATGAATGGGAACCGGGCTGGCATCTTGACTGGTAAAGAAATGTGTCTCTAGGATGACAAAGATTGATATCGTAGGAGCGTCTGTTTCCTCTTAAGTAGAATCGGTGAGCAAAGGATTGTTTCGATGCCTTGAAGAATCTCTGTATGACAAATGGGCCAACGTCTATACATGCCTACGGAAAAACAAAGTGTACATATTAGATGTTTAGGCATGGTGGCTAGGTGTGCAGATAATTATTATCGAGGCAGTATAGGCGATACATTAGTTAGAACACAATCAATAATCAACAAACTCTTTGTTCGGAATTCAAACGTTTGTTGTTTAACAGAGCTAGAGAATAGTCTAGGGAATCGGATGGTGACATCGTTGAAAAGCGAGCGTTGACGTTTAACACATATTCGGCCGGTATGATAGTCTATAGAAACCTCATCATCAGTACATATTGAGAGCCATAGTCGATTATTTTCTTACATATGAATTACTTGTATAGAATTTGCAGTTTGTTTGCTGTATTAGTCTCGATTGTTTAATTGTTTACTACCCGGGGAGATAGATAGAGATAGAGATAGAGGTAGAGAGTCTGGGTACCCCTGGACGATCTTGGCATATCACCTTCTATTCTCGGCTGATTTGCCGTGCAGCAAAGTCGTTATCGGCGCGCGTTCTTGCAAATTGGTTACTACATTATTCCGGCATGCAATGTGCATATATCCAGGGCAAAGGGTCGCATCGTGAGGAAAATGTCGTACGTAAGGTCAATTCGATATTCTATTCCTTTGGATTGCACGACTTCCCTTCGTCTATATTCTGAATTGGGCAATTGACGAACCAATGTCGAGCATCTGTGCCCTGGCCATGAGATGGGCGCTGCTCATTTCCCTTCTTGTAGGGTTATCTTCAGCGCACCCCGATACGAAATACCCACCACGGAAGGCCGCCGGGAAGGCATCCAAAGCGGCGCGCAGCCCTCTTGCTAGGTTTAATGATCTCGTAGTCGAAGGAACAAACGCGGTACCGGCCGTCGCAGCGAGCTCTCCCTTGGAGTGCTTTCAGGTTGCTGAGCCGGTATTAACGCCTCAAGGGCCTACATTTCGTGATGGAGCCCATGCGCCGACACAGGACCTAGCTTCAATTGGCGAAGTAGCTGGTCACACTGTAGTTTTGTTTGAGCACTCGTTCGCAAATAGCTATGGCGCTCCCTACGTTGGTAGGCTTATATACCTATATACCTGTCTTGGAGTAAACCGTTCTCAGTGCTGACTTGGTTAAGGCAATTACACCCCTCCGGATTTCGAATTCGATCACGTAGTCATCAACTTCACCGTCTTGGTGAGGGGGCGGCAGTATGATCGAACGGGCGTCTTCTATCTTGGAGATACGGAAGTGTGGAGAACATCAACTGCGGAACCGACTTCGTATGGCATCCGCTGGGTCTGGCTTAAAGACGTAACCCCGTTTACGTCCCTCTGGAAGGCGCCGCAGACTGTGATCTTTGACCTGGAGAACATTGTGGACAATACCTACACGGGACTACTCAACACGACCCTCTCGGCTACGTTCTTCAAGAGCCCTGTGGCTACGCTTAGCAGCCGGGGACCTGCCGATCTGATTATCCCCATCTCCGAACGAACGGGATCTGCGGGACAGCCGAGTCAATTCACCTACCCACAGCAGAATGCGACTAACACGATAAGCTTTCCTCAGAACGCGAACCGTGCCGTATTCACAGTAGACGTTAAAGCCCAGGGTGATGAAGAGTTCTGGTGGAGTAACGTGCCACAGAGTGCTATTCATACATTCGACGCCGACTATGGCACATACCCCGGCTATTCACCTTGGCGAGAAGTCCAAGTCTTAATCGATGACCAGCTTGCTGGAGTTTCCTGGCCATTCCCGGTGATTTACACGGGTGGCGTAGTTCCTCAGCTACACCGTCCAATCGTCGGAATAGAAGCATTCGATATCCGGGAGCATGAAATTGACATCACCCCGTGGCTACCGCTCCTTTCGGATGGGAAAGACCACACCTTCTCGATACAGATTATCGGTCTAGTCGACGACGGAGTATCAAGCGCTTCCCTTGCCCCAGTCACAGCTAGTGAATGGTATATTACTGGCAAGATCTTCGTCTGGCTCGACGACGAGGGCTCTGTCACGACTGGGGAATTGGGTTCTGCGTACGCTAGCAACCCCAGCATATCATTCTCTCAAAAAGTCACACAAAATTCGACAGGCTTCAATGAGACCCTCGATTATACTCTAGCGGTGACACGTGCGCTATCCATTAGTTCCTACGTCAAGACGCAAAATGGCGAAGGGACCGTGACATGGACTCAGTCCCTATCGTACTCGAACAATGGCGGTGTTTCCGCATACGGTAATGATGGGATCAATACATTCGGAATCTCAGGTGCCGATGCCGCCACGGGTGCAGGCCTAGACATCTCGTACTCTACTAGCTACAGTTATCCGCTGTACTGCGGCAGTTCCACGACGTATCTACCAGAAGGCAACTTAACGCTTCGGGCAGATCTAAACCAGAGCTTAACCCATGAAGTCCGTGGCGACTCCGTCTTCCCCAACGGTCTTGAAGCATTCGTAGCCGCCAATGCGTCTGGTGCATCGCAGTTCCGGGGCTCGGTGCTGAGTACGTCCAAGAACGGGTCAGCGACGTACTACAGACCGGCAGATAATAGCTACAGCTCGGGGGTCGGCCAGTCTCACCAGATCTTCTCGTTTGAAGCGCTGAATGACGAAGGCGACGACGGTACGTCCGAGAGTACAGTGCTGTATTATCGTGACGTTAGCGCGTATAATGATACAGTCACCAATAACCACGTCGAGTTTCTGGGTAAGGTCGCAGGATAAGATATGGTAAATCAGACATGAGGATAATGGACTCTTGAACGCGCAACTAGGATATATTATGTACAGTATACTGTATAGGGGGTAATCCTGGATATTGTACTTGATACTTCTTCGTACAGTCGTTTGCTGCGAATTTACCAACCCCGAAGTCTAAATGGGATATTTATTTATTGAGTAGATGCAAGAATGATATACCAATATTCATTTATCGAGACTATTGTGTACTCTGATCAATCTGACTTTTCATTTGACAACATCTGAGATACCCCCATTAAATATTTGACCAGTGTTTTACTCCATCATTCCAAATAGCAGGGTGATTTTATGTGTTTATTTGAGTTTAACATAAGTTCTATAACTTTTCAGACTCGGATTTTTCAGTCGTGAAAGCATGGAGGAAGATCGGGCACAGGCCGATCTAGGCATCGCCGCAGATATCGAAGAGGCCCATGCGCCGCCACCATCACCCCCGGCTCGCAAACAACCAAAGAAGCGATTCGTAGGACGAAGAGCTGCAGCAAATAATGCTAAAAATGGTGCTGGCGATCCATCGATCGAGGATAGCGGGGCTATTCAAGGTAAACCAATGTTATTCTAGGCGTTGAGGGAAATTGCTGAACGTGAGTCTTAGTATCGCAACCGAGAAGAGCACCGAGACTGCTTAATCAAGTGCCCCCGGAGATCTTGAATGACCCGGAACTCAAGGAGGCGATGGCGTTATTGCCCGCCAACTACTCTTTTGAGATTCCCAAGACTATCCATCGCATCCGGTCTTCAGGCGCAAAACGGGTTGCGCTGCAGATGCCCGAAGGGCTACTCATGTTCGCCACCACCATTTCAGATATTCTCACTCAGTTCTGCCCCGGGATAGAAACCCTGATCATGGGCGATGTCACCTACGGCGCTTGCTGTATCGACGATTACACAGCACGAGCTCTGGGTTGTGATCTCCTGGTTCATTATGCGCATAGCTGTCTGATCCCCGTAGACGTTACTAAGATCAAGGTGCTTTACGTCTTCGTCGACATTAGTATAGACACATCGCATCTTCTGGCTACCCTGGAGCGAAATTTCGCGCCACCTAAGACCATTGCCATAGTCGGGACTATTCAGTTCAATGCTACCATCCATGGCGTTCGATCGACGCTGGAAAAAGCCGGCTTCAAGGTCCTAATTCCTCAAATCGCGCCGCTGTCCAAGGGCGAGATTCTAGGATGTACCTCTCCGCGATTACCCGACTCTGAGAATGTTGACCTCATCCTCTATCTGGGAGACGGCCGCTTCCATCTCGAGAGTATTATGATCCACAATCCTGCGATCCCAGCATATCGTTATGACCCCTATTCGAGGAAGCTTACTCGTGAGACGTACGGCCACGAGGAAATGCAAAGCCTACGGAGGGACGCTATTACAACGGCAAAGGGGGCGAAGAAATGGGGCCTGATACTGGGCTCGCTTGGTCGTCAGGGTAACCCGCACACGATGACATTAATCGAGAAGAAGCTTAAGGAGATGGGGATCCCCTGGGTCAACTTACTCCTGAGTGAGATTTTCCCTGGAAAGCTCGCCATGATGAACGATGTGGAATGCTGGGTCCAAGTAGCCTGTCCTCGATTGAGTATCGACTGGGGCTACGCATTCCCGCGACCACTGTTGACGCCGTATGAGGCACTCGTTGCGCTCAACGAAAGGCAGGACTGGAGCCAGAGTGGTGTTTATCCTATGGATTATTATGCGAGAGAGGGGCTGGGAAGGACGAAGGATATCGAGGTGTTAAGCTAGTAGTAACTACTACGGTACATAGGACATAGGTTCAATATGACCAAGGTTGCCGTGGGTTGTACCTTAGCAGTGGGCACGTGGACATCTTTCCAAGTGATGGCAACTCAACACGACAGCTGTACACAGGTAGGTGCCTAGGTAGGTAACTATTCACCACAGCAACAAACAACCCCACACATGATCCAGTCACCCAAGTAAAACATATATACCATAGCAACAGACTGTTCCTTCGGCCTGTAGCCTCCGGCCGCTGGATTCACTAAGCCTCTGGTTTAGTGGTAAAAGCGCCCGGATTGCTGGTCAGCAAAATCTTAACAAGTGTTCGGGTTTTCGTAAGTCCAGGTTCGAAACCTCCTCGAGGGAGGTCAATCCTGGACTGAGCTTTTTGCAAATTTTTTTTTTTTGCCCTCTTGACTTATTTCATCTGCGTAAATTAACCAGGGCGGGTTACGTCGACCTAGTTTATTACTAATTGCCAGCCGCACCCAGGAAGAAATCTTTTTACACTGCTATAATTTACTTCTACGCATATAGCAGGCAATTAACTGAGTCTAGAAAAGATTACCCTTATTTTGAAGAGGACTTATCATCTTTATTTTCATACCGTTAATAAGTAGAATTCTCGCGCTCTCCTATTGTAGTTTTAGACTCATCTATAATCTACATCCTGTGCTCTACGAGCCTACTTACCAGATTCGATCCCTTAAACCAAAACTGAAAGAAAGATCAAACCTGCTTAATATCGTGCCTAATGTATATCTATTCAGTTTAGACAAACTGGCTAACTACAGGGAATGAGAAGATATCTCGGCTGGTTATCACAATAGCTTCCCCCATTCCTATACGATGCTTCATCTTATTGAGTACACTTGGTAACTAATTAACATATGCACCTAATAGGCCTAGCCTTAGTAGAAATACTTACTATACTATACGTAAATAGGTATATAGGTAGTTTACACGAGTTACCCGTTAATAGCCTCCCTCGTCTTGGCAAGGGGGGAGAGTTTTTCACTGATTAATCAATTATCCCCCTACGTCAAGTTCTACAACGCCTAGAGACACGCCAGTCACACAAGGAACCTACAGACAGTCAATCCCATCGTCGTAAACATTGGCCAATTAAGTATATTATATAAGTAGATACGGCGCCAACATCGGTAGCATCGACGTAGCGCTAAATAATGTAAAATACCCAATGCGTATAACATCTATTTACCGCGCCACCCGAGGTGACCACCGAAGTCATAGCGCCGCGGCTGTTTTGATTATTATCATTATTATACTCGTCTCCACAATCGTCCGCCTAAGACGATGTGGTGGTGTTGACGCTGAAGACGTAGCTGGCCTGGAGGACGTAGGGGTCGCCTCCGGGGCCGAAGATCTGCTTGGACTCGCGCTGCCACTCGGGGTGGTTGATGGCGTCGATCCAGTCCTCGACCTCCATGACGAGGCAGCCGTACTGGGGGATTGTGCGGGGGAAGTCCTCGTTGTCGAAGAGACCCTGAGACGTCTTGAGAGGCATCGTGCTGTTCTGGCCGTTGCATGAGTACATCTGGAATGCTTCCTGGTCCGTGTACACGTCGAGCTGGATGCCAGACCATTCCGACTGAAGACGGGCGACGAAGCTGCCCTCGGCGCGCCAATCATAGGGGCCCTCTTGACTCCGGTTGATGATCCAGCAAGTGTCTAATCAAAACAGGTTAGCTTTCTTATCCCATGGCTTCCGTTGTGACGAGTTGGGAAAGACTTACCGTAACCGGTGCAGTTGAAACCGCAGTTACCCTCCGCTTCAGGCTTCTGAAGGTCGGTTCCGAGTTGCTTCGGGGCGCTCCAGAAGTCGTTCACGGATCCTTTCTTGTTGGCGATGATGTCGCCCGTCGGGATCAAGATGTCGTCAACACCAACTCGCTGGCCGCTGTAGGGCAGGTAGAACGTGTGGTTCAAGGCGGTGTTAGTTTCGTTATTGGCAAAGCCGTCCAAGTTCCAGTACGTATGACTGCTGAGCATGATAGGCGTCTTCTTAGTGGTCGCGATAGCTACCAGCTTAAAATCCCATGTGAAATCGTGGAGAGTATAGGTGACGTAGGAGATGACCTCTCCGGGAAAACCTTGCTCGCCGTCGGGATCGACAATGGAGAATGTTATACTGTCATTCGAATGAGAGACGACAGTGAAGTTGCGGAAATCCCAGCCATCGGGACCGCCGTGCAGAGTATCAGCACCGTCAGGAGCTTCCGGTGTAGGGTTCTCATTGGGCTCAATGTGAAATGTTTCGCCGTCGATCTCAAATGTGCTATTCTTGATCCGGTTTGCGTATCGGCCCGGTACACTACCGAGATGAGGATGGGCCTTGTCAAGTGTATAGGCTGTAGCGTTGTCGAAACCGGCTACAACATCTCTCTCGATACCGTACTTGTCGTGGATCAAGAGTTTTGCGACGGAAGCGCCGTAAGGGATAAACGCGGCCGAGAGACCCTCACTGTAAATCCAATAAAAGCCGTTCTCATCGGGACCCAAACTGCTTGACACATTACTGCTCCCAGTACCGCCAGGCGATTGCGCTGAAGTCAATGGCAGCAAAAATGCTCCCAAAGAAGCAAGGCTAGTGTTCAGACGCATATTGACTTGAGGTTGAGACAAGCTTTGCTAGTTGACATGCAATTTTGGTGCTGATGCTTTGTACTCGCCGCAATTGACGGTGGGAGAGGAAGGCAGAGCAAAGCAAAGCAACGGGAATCCTGGGGAAGGATTCGTGACTTATATAAATTCAGTCATCAAAGGATAAACCCCCGTCTGGAGAAACTTGATTTGGTTGGACAATGGGGAATACACTTCATCACGTTGACTTGTTACAGGGGGAGTAGAGCTGGGGAATTTTATTAATCTCACCTGCATCCGAACTCAGTAGCCCCAGTAGCCCCAGCAGCCCCGGCGATCCCCAGCTATGACTTATGCTAGTCTGTCAAAAGCTACTCCGCTTTCTTGGAAAAGTTGGGGTACCTAGACGACGTAACTTAACAAGGCAGTGTTACATTGGCCTCATCTAAATCATGTGGTAACACGGCACGAAATCAGTAAGTCGCTAGTACGTTGGAATCCGAGTTGGATTCGTGATTCGGTCGTTTTCTTAGAATGCTCAGGGTCATTCGTACGTAGGGGCCCTTTGTTATTGCATGTTTGCAGGTCACAGTGCAGGTGAACCAGCACTACCCCATAACTCCGAGCCCAAGGTGTTGGATCGCTACAATAAAAGCTGGATAGTACCTAAAGAAGCGGTATGGGTTAGGCGTATGTATTACCTAGAGGTGTCAACTCTCTACCAACACGTTACAGGGTTACCCGACATGTATCCTAGGTAAGATAATTGGAAGTATTCTCTTCTTCCCACTAATTCCGAAGTAGAGTTGGTGGCATATTCGAGCTCTTTGTAACGAATCCCACAGAGTTGAGTTAACCAGAGTCTCGTAGACTAAGAAAAGTTAAGTCTCATTCGAGGTTGTGTTTGCTGAAGACTTGTCTAAATCGGCATTATGTTACCCCACTGGGGGAATTTGGAGATGCTTTTCCTCAATGAACGTTCAAGGCTCTACAGCGTTAAGCTTTGGAGGGATCTTCTGTGGAACTCCAGCCCTCCCTTCAAGCACCTCTCGTGCCTTGCATACATTCCTCTCGCTAGCATTCATAGCTTAACTCGAGGCACATTCAAGGTGATGTGTCATTCGTCGGGGTGCTTCCGGCAACATATAGCAAATAAAGAAAAGAACATTCGAGGCTTGCCCTCATGATTCAAATAGGTCTTTGAGACAATATTCCCAATCTGTTGGTGGTAGCCGCTAACCTCTATATAGAAGACTTGTTGGCGTTGAAGCAAACATGGAAAATATGGGAAATGGCGGAAAGGACATGAAAGCTACATACTAACAACACGAAGTAATTGGTGCGAGAATTCGAGTAACACAAGAAATGAAGCACGTGGATGGTGGGTTTTTGCAATTCTGGAACTAGGAGGCGGTACTTGGGCATTACTTTTAGGTACAGTGCGGGGTCCTCCTTTTGGACAGGGTCAGGCTGTCAGCAAGCCTAAAGTGGTCAACCCAAGATACGTACCGTAATCCTTCAAAGCTTCAGAGCTTTATGCCGACATGTTCCCCGCGTCCAGCCGTCCCGCTCATCTCTTAACATTCATCCTCACTTTTGGTCGGGTTGGGCACGTTAGTATAACGTCGAAATGGTTCAGCTCTGCTTTACAAGGCGGAGAGTCTAGAGGAGATCCAGAAGAAGTGGATATAGAGCTAGCGGGCTTTCTTCACCGTGTATTTCGCCGAGGCCTTACGTAGGTAGTAGCTGCTTAATGATGGCCAAATAGCCCAGTCCCGGTCTGTTATTCCCGAGTACCGAGTGAAGCTATCTCAAGAGTTATATCCGTAAATCGGCCAGAAATATCACCAGCCTACTTCAAGATTACTAGGACTGGATTGGTATCTTGATCCTATATCATTTATATCGAATCTTACCACGGTGATATGCTGAGTGACCGGTGTTCAAGAAGAAAAACGCTTGGTTTGTGTTCCAATATTTCAGTTATTATGGTCATACGCTGAACAATATCTCATTATGACTCGACTCATGTAAATATATTCTTCCATGATAATTCCAAACTCAATGGAACGGCCATTGTATTGAATGCTGATCAGTAACCTGTACTCCGCCATATACGACTACCCTATACACATCTGTCGCGCTTACGCCCCCAGCTGTTCAACTGATTATACATCGACAAGGTTCTCCTCCTGGGGTGCATCTGTGTCCTTTACACCCTTGTCATTTCTCTCCTTCCCCTTTCCCTTTCGATCCGTAGCCGAACGTTGATAATACTCGTTAATGATCTTGGCGGGGATACGGTTCAGGAGCTCTTTAGGGAAGATACGCAAGAGACTCCACGCGATATCTAGAGAGTCGTAAATACTCCGTTGTTCGTATGCGCCCTGTGCGACAAATTGCCGCTCGAACTTTTCGAGGAATTCCAGGGACAATTTGTCTTCGGCGGACAAGGCCTCCTCGCCGACGACAGCTTTCATAGCTGCAGCATCACGGCCAATGGCATATTTGGCGTAGAGTTGGTTGGACACATCACCGTGGTCCTTTCGGGTCATTCCCTCACCAATAGCAGATTTCATGAGACGGGAGAGAGATGGTAGCACGTTGATGGGCGGGTAGATACCACGGTTGTCGAGCTGGCGGTCGACGAAAATCTGGCCCTCGGTGATATAACCCGTCAAGTCGGGAATGGGATGCGTGATATCATCGTTAGGCATAGTCAAGATGGGAATCTGGGTGATGGAACCATTTCGGCCCTCGACACGACCGGCTCGTTCGTAGATCGTTGATAAATCAGTGTACATGTAACCAGGGAAACCACGTCGACCTGGCACTTCTTCTCGGGCAGCAGATACCTCACGAAGAGCATCACAGTAGGCCGAAAGATCTGTAAGAATGACCAGAACGTGCTTCTCAAGTTGGTAGGCGTAGTACTCGGCGGTAGTAAGTGCGAGACGAGGGGTGATGATACGCTCGATTCTGCTTGTTATTAGCCAAATACCCGATACACTTGAAGGAAAGGAATTCTGCCATACGTGGGATCGTTTGCAAGGTTGAGGAAGAGTGTAACACGCTCCAAGCTACCGTTCTGCTCGAAATCCTGGGTAAAGAATCGGGCAGTTTCTAAGTTGACACCCATGGCGGCGAATACAATGGAGAAGTTCTCCTCGTGGTCATCATGCACACCCTTATTCGTAGCCCCCTTTTGCTTGACCAAGCCAGCTTGACGGCAAATCTGGGCGGCAATTTCGTTGTGAGGTAAACCGGCGGCGGAGAAGATGGGAATCTTCTGACCTCGGGCAATCGAGTTCATTGTGTCGATAGTCGAAATACCGGTCGATATCATTTCTTCGGGGTATACCTAGTAACATTGTAAGCGATGATCTTTCTTCACTTTATAGCATAAACTTATAGCATAGGAACGTGTACGTACTCTTGAGTAGGGATTGATAGGGCTGCCGTTGATGTCGAGGTAATCCTCAGCCAACACCTTGGGGCCCTTGTCGATAGCTCTGCCAGATCCATCGAAGATACGTCCCAGCATGTCTTCTGATACGCCTAGCTTTAAGCTCTCTCCCGTAAACTCGACCTTAGTCTTTTTGACGTCAATGCCTGACGTTCCCTCGAAAACCTGCACGACGGCGCGGTTGCCTGCAATATTGAGACATGGTTAGAAATGGAAAGGGTTCGGTAAATAAGTATCCCATCGCTCACCTCGGGCCTCGAGGACTTGACCGGATCTCTCTGTTCCATCAGGGAGTGTTAAGGTGACGATTTCATTGTAGCGCGGGAATTTGACGTTATCCAATATGACTAAAGGACCATTGACACCGCTGACGGTGTTGTACCGAACCCTAGGTACGATGGAATACGAAGAAGATTCTCTAGGATCCATGATGCTTCAACTGCAGGTGTACTTGGTCCAAAGGTGCGGTAGAGGATAAAAGTATAGCTCTTCCAAATGAAGAAGCTTGGTTATGATTCGGCTATGAAGCAGTTGATGTCGAGCTCCAGCCACCGTTGACGTTAGATTACAGCGTTAACCTGTTAGATTGTTAGATTACAGAGGCGGGAAGCTCTAAAACCAGACCCGTTACGAAAGCTCCCACTTAGCTGGCGCAGCACCTGGAGAGTGGGGAACAGCCACAGCAACTAAGGATCACATGAGTGGACAGATAAATATGGTCTGTGCACGCGGTTGTGGAGCCATATGATGATGCAATCCATGCATCTAAAATACAAACCGAGGGCCCCCCCTGTAGGGACCACAAGAGCCCGACTTTTAGCAAAGCTTATGCTTATATCATCCCGTATATCATCCTTTTATATCATCCCCCCTTATATTATCCCCCCTTATATCATCCCCTCTTATGTTATTTCCTTTTATATTATTTTATTCTTTTATATTGTCTTTCCGAAATTTAGCTGCTTATCCCATAGGGTCACATGCCACCGCCAGACCGTATTTGGGGGCGTTTAAAAGGCGCTCGACGCATTAACGCGCGCTTTGCGCCCCTTTTACGCCTTTCTTTGCGCGGCCCGGCGGTGGCATAATATTTTAGCTATATTTTTAGCTATATATTATATTATTGTTTATTTTTTATTAAAATAAAAAAATAAAAAACGTATAAAATTTAAACCCGGTTTTTTATAAAAATCATATAATATTATTTTAAAAAAGTTTAATTTTATATTAAAAATATATAATTTATATATAGTTTTATATTAATATATAATTATTTAATATAATTGGTTAAATTTTTAGTTTAAACTTAATATATAAGCTATTTTTTTCTTTAACTTTTTTATTTTTTTTATTAAAAACCTTTTTTATTAAAAACTTTATTTTTTTATTAATTTATTAAAAACTTTATTTTTTTTATTAAAAATATATATTATTTAAAATTTTTAAATTAAAATTAGTTTAATATTAATTATATAATTAAAACTTTAACTTTATATTTTAACTTATTATAATATTTAAAACTTATAATTAAAAAACATTAATAAATACACAAATAAATTGCTTAATTAAAAAATATCCTTAATTTGGCCTACCATAATAACCCTTTTAAAAATCAGGCATAAAGAAATAGGTTTACCTCTTTATATATTGATTATAAAACTTATAAACTATAATATGTAACATTATGCGCATTCCGCATCAAGATCGACAATCGGAAGTTCTTACCATATCTCATAATATAGGTTTCAAGAAGTCACATACGCATGACATAAGATTACTTTCGCAGATTACCTACCTAGGTAGGTATAGTAGGTAGGAAGACACCTGTCTTCTCTAGGCAGTGACGGATGATCTCACAACCATTATTTCAATATTAGGTTCATATATCCATTAGCATGTCCTTCATCTTGTAGACGCTGATATAAACATACTACATGCCACGTTACAACATTTATCTAAGGCAAAGATTACACACGGAAGCTGAAGGTTATCATAGATAGTTGTATTATACAACCATTAAGCTGTACAATCCATCCGACGCGCACAAGCTCAAGTCATACTTAGCGATCCGCAGAAACGGCACAACATGAAGGGACCAAGAATTGCCACCCAGGAGAAGTGCTACTGTGCCATTTGTGGCGGTCCATTCAAACCCCCTCATTTTATGAATAAGAAATCCAAAACACCTTTTGGCTATAATCCGGAAACAGTTAGCAAAAAGAAAGCTTCCTGGATCACGAAAGTCCGTGTTATATTAGAACAGATTCCCGGTGATAGACGGTAAGGTCTCCCCTTCTGGATCGATATTCGTGTAGCTAAATCTTCTAGGGGATATATATCTGGGGTGGGAAAATTGAAGGATGGCTATATTGAGCTCGATCCCGAAGACGATGACAACCGTCTCATACCCAGTTCGATCAATTACGTTTGCTATAAAACGGGTTTTACGGCGAAACCATTAGGTGCCATCCCCTTCCATTGGCCATGCTATGAAATATTGGCCCGCGCCCTATATCCCAACGCGGACGACCCAATTCATCATGTGGACCTAGATCGGCTTTTCCTTACAATGTTTATGCTCACAGGGGATGGGTTTTCGCTAGACCTCGAGTCTGGTGCTGAGGAACGACAAAAAGAATATTAGGAATGCTGCACAGGCGAAGAGTATTTCATTGCAAACCCAGCTCCTTCGGCCGAATTGACATTTCGTGTCGGAAAGATGATGGCAGGCGTACGATTCCCTAAGTCACTTCCAGATTTTGATCTTGGAAGTCGAGTAATAAATGATCCGTTCAAAAAACTACCATCCGATATCATCTACTTGATCTGTCAGCAGCTCCCCGCCACAGATATTCCTTTATTTGCCAAGGCGTCTTAGTGGGTTAATGCTGTCCTTCGCAGAGGTAACTTCTGGAGGTATTTTATCAAATACGGCATGCCTTGGTTCATCGAAATAGAGGAACTTATTAAACTAGGCACCTTGCGTCGTCAGGGTTTATTCAGGGGAATTTTTTTCTGGGCGTTGGATGCAGTCCAATGCTACAGAGGGCTAAAAGGTCCTCTCATGTACGTTGCGAATCGGCGGCGAATGTGGGAAGTCTGCGAGGACATAGCATTGACCTACTATAATAATGACGTCTAACACGCTAGAAGAGTAGTAGTCTGAGTGGTCGAATAAAAAAGAATATCAAATCCAAGCTAACATCATAATGCCGATAATGCCGCACTTTGCTCTGCTTCTAATAAGGGGTCCATTAATTAATCACGTTGGCACGTGATCCGAGTTGATGACTTCATAGGTAACCCCGGCTTTTACGTAAATGAACTAGGTTAGAGCCATTAGTAGCCGAGCTCTTACAAGGTTCTCAACCGTTCTAAATCTGTCTACCCCATTTGTAGCTTTGAATATGTAACTTCGAAGAGCAGTTATCAACGTCGATAGAAGAAGACAACAACAATTCGTGGTGGCATAAGAAGGGGAACTACTGTTTAAATTATCGATATGAATAAAAGATGGCGTCACTGCGCCCAATGATCCAGTTAACTCGCTGGCGGGCACCAGCCTATGCTCCGGCAGCTCTACGACGATGCTTTGCGACAGCTTCTGACGTAAGAAATACGGCCTCGGCAGCCCAACAACAGCCGCATTCCGATAACCGAGTTAAGATAGTCGAAGTAGGCCCAAGGGATGGCCTACAAAATGAAAAGAAATCAATTCCTCTAGCTACTAAGATCGAATTAATCGAGAAGCTAGCTAAAACTGGAGTGTCTGTCATAGAAGCCGGGTCTTTCGTCTCCCCGAAATGGGTACCACAAGTTAGTCTCTCTCGGATTGCGAACAATGTAGACAGAAGCTGACTTAGAGAACTCCCCTAGATGGATAATTCTAGCGAAATCCTCGAGCATATCCTGACGAACAAGATCCCCTCACCAGTGCCAATCACATATTCCTTCCTCGCCCCCAACGCAAAGGGTGCTGAAAATGCAACAGCCCTACTCAAAAAGCACTCGGGTGCCTATCTAACGGAAGCCGAATCGTTCCAGGGCGTAGGTGGCAAGCCAGCAGTAGAACTTGCGGTTTTTGCTTCTGCAACTGAGAGTTTCTCAAAGAAGAATCTTAATTGCGACATCGCGACCTCCCTCGAGAGGTTCAGGGATGTCATACAAGGGGCAAAACAGCTCGGGATTCGAGCACGGGCTTATATCTCCGTGGTCTTAGGCTGCCCTTTCGAAGGACACGATGTTAATCCACATAAGGTGGCCGAAATTGCTACCTCGTTGCTGGAGATGGGGGCTGATGAGATCTCCCTTGGGGACACGACAGGGATGGGGACTGCGCCTCGCACACAGGAGCTCTTGAAGTGCATGACAGCTGCGGGAATACGGAACGAGGACATTGCCATGCATTTCCACGACACGTACGGCCAGGCTCTTGTGAACATGGCCATTTCTCTAGAGCGTGGTATCAGGACGTTTGACAGCTCTGTTGGTGGTATCGGCGGTTGCCCATACAGCCCTGGAGCCACCGGAAACGTGGCGACAGAAAACGTGGTTTACTTCCTCGAGAGCTTGGGTATGGAGACGGGTGTCGATCTCGACGCCATGGCGGATATTGGACAGTGGATCTCAGAAGAGTTGGGAAGGCCAAATGACTCGGCTGTTGGCAAGGCTGTGCTTGGGGCTCGTAGTAAGGCTGGGTAGTATTTCTACATGTCTACATAGTACACGGTGATGTTTTAGTACAAACTGCAAATGTATATATTTGATTGTACCTGTCGAAACGCATACCGCAAAGACTGTTGTCGTGGTTTCATTCGCACTTACCATGCAAGACTCATAAATTTGAGCACGGTCTGCATATGGCAAGCTACGTAACAGACTGGACTATTGTACAAGCAAAGCAACGTAATCACCCATTCCGATTTGCTAGTCAGTAAAAACGGCTATGTCTCAACCCCCGCTGCCCACGCAGCGATTCTTGCTTTCTCAGCCTGGATATCCTGGTTTCCAGGTAAATAAAGCTCTGCAATTTTGATGCAGTCCACAGCAGCCCCCAAATTGCTTTCTAGGACACGGTACGCCGTTGCAAGGCGGAAGAATCTCTCGCCACTGTGAATGGGTAGAGGTTCCTAATCTGTCCCTAGTTTCGCAACCGCAAAGAACGATCCGCTTAGTGCCTCAAGCAGAATGGGCCAATACTTCCGAGCTTGCTCCAAGTTACCCTGGCTTTTCAATATTTGCATGATGATTATGAGACCGGCAACTTGGTTGAGGTGGAGATAGAAGACAATGTCGGCGATATGATAAGGGAGTGCATCACTAGGATCGCTAGTGGCTTTTATTCGCTGCCATAGAGGACTGCCAGCAAGACCGATCATCTGCATTGTGGACTTCTTCCACATCTTCAAAGCCTTAATATACTCGCCGTCCTGGAAAAGTTCGTCTCCATATATTTTTACCCTGTTGAGAGCCTCCAATAACGACCACGGTTCGAGATGGGGGTCTTGTTTGACCTGTTCTGTGACATCCCTAGCTAAAGCCGGACATATGTTGCCTTCAAGCTTGAAGGAAGCGATTCTGGAGAGGTAATCTCGGTAGGGCTGGACAAGGAGCGTCTATTCAGCAGTTAGAAATTAACAGTCACTTGTATTATGTTATTATGTATTAAGACTCACTTGCTTCGCAACGCCCAGGTAACTGGAGGATGTGGTGTTTCTGAACGGGTTGCAAAGAACAACGCGATGCTCAAAGCTCTCGGGAGAAGGTTCGAGCCAGTTGAGAGATTCGCAGAATAACGGGAAATCCTTCTGAAGAACTATGAAGTGGTTCTTTGGGACTGGGCTAGCACCTTGGATCTTGATAGAATAGCTCATGACGAAGCCTTTGAAGTTTCTGATAGTCGCTTTGCCGATAGCTACGATAGGGATCTCCCAGGCAGATAGGAGGTGGCACAAGTTAACGCCATGAGTGACCACGCGGATGAAGAGATGGTATTTTAGCATGACATCAATAGCCTCATGTGATACTTGACGGCTAACAAGGAGGATTGCAGTGTCGAACTTGTGATGTCCCAAGAGTGGAACGAAAGGAGTGTAGGACTCAAGGTCCTGGTTCACTCTGGTCAATCTCGGCTCGGGAGGCGACCAAGCACAGAGAACGAGATCATAAATAGAATTCCTAAGTTCGGGAGGGAGATCTAAGAAACGGAAAGGGGTAGACGCCATATTTGCTATATGAAACTGTAAAGACTAATAAAGAATGCAAAGAATGCACGCGGCAGACGGTTTCCACGTCAGGAAAAGATGATATAGACACGAAAGAATAAAAGTAAAGGGACTGTAGGGAAAATAGAGAATGTTGTATGGGTGTGGGATTGTATATGGAAGATAAGAGGGTGCGACTACTGGTAGTTGTAAGTTGTTGACAAAATTAGAAGTCGTGAATATCTTAGGAAGGAAGCGGCGACGTGTATGGGGGCGGTGTATTTCATGGGCAGTACCTCTCCCGGAAGTCGCGTTGCTTAGTGACGCCATGCATGTTGTTCACCATTAATCACTTGTTTGCCACTAATCTCTAATTATCTAGGCAGGTTACAAAAAATCTATGCTGAAGTTCATGCACACTCCACTGCTTGTTACTTTTTATTTGCTCTTACCCCCCCTTTCTCCCCTTCGAGACGCCGATTTACTTTCTCGTCCCAAGACTAAGAGTTATCGTCCAATCCCAGACGTAGTTGTGTAATTATTCAGCAAATAGACTTTTACCCTTATGTTATCGGTATCTAGATAGACTCATGCTTCTTGATTAAGCAAATAGCACAATCCACATTTCACTTTAGAATAGGACTTAGATAACACCTTGTTGATACATAGGTACCTACATACTGAGTTTATCGTAATACATACATTGCTTCAAAATTCTTATACGTATTAACTAATTATTTACCTAGGTAAAAAGTTTAATGAAAGAGAATTGAGCTGCAGTCCAGTCTCTATAAAGATTGACAAGATAGCTTGTTATAGACTTGATAGATATATACATATACCCGTTAAAGGAAGCTATAACGACTACCTACATACTTACATACTTACCTATATACCTAATCTAGTTCAAATTGGGTTATATCGTGGTTTCCTCAATTCCAAGTAGACACCCCCTATTCAACTACCCCTATTCTTAGATATCTTATGTAATCTAGCATAATCTGATCTCTGGGGCTCTCCCACGTGGCTTTGGTCCCACAGTGGGGTTACACTCCGAATCTGCAAACCAGGGTCAATCAACTTTAACCTCCAAATTTGATATAAAAAAAGTTTACTCGTGAGATCAACGCTACTTTAAAATCTTTCGAGTCTCTCGCAGCCAAGACCAAATTCGAGATGCACTCATTGGTTCAACCCCATGCGTGGGTTGCTCTCAAGCTTCCATCTGGGAACCTTCGAGTGCTTGAAGTCACACCTAATACGTATGTCATCTATATCATCTATATCATCGTGGATTATCTTAAGTAACTGCATCGACTAACATGTATTCGTCCTATAGGACCATTTCCTTAGGGAAGTATGGGTCATTCCCAAGTAACCTCATAATTCACCGGCCCTATCACCTGACCTATGAATTGCAAGATAAACAATCAGGAGAAAGTTTTAATCGCTTGCGCATCGTGCCGGCTTCTGAGCTGTATAGTGATATACTATCTTCTGATGCATCAGCTAGTTCCCTAGAGGGAGAAACTCCCATAACAAACGAAGGGGATGATGCAGAGAACGCTATACCGACAGGAATCGAGTACTCACTTGTCGATCCCGAATCTGGTGCTGTCGTTGCTCGAACCGATCGTGTAGAAATCGATGCCTCAGCTCGTCAGACCCTGACAACAGAGGAGATAGAAGCCTTGAAGAAAGACGGCACAGACGCAGGAAGAGATATAATAGCCAAGTTGTTACTATCACATACGGCAATCGACCAGAAGACGGAGTATTCTTTGGCCAAATACAAATTGCTCAAGACGAAAAAGTATATTCGAAGATTCTCCGTTCTCCCTATGGATGTGCCAATGCTCGCCCATTGGCAATTGGAGGTGAAAGACCCGAGTAAGATATTAGACATGAGAGATGAGATGATAGCACTGTTAGGATGTTGGGCCAATGTGCATTTTGGTGGAGAGGATCAATGCGAGAATAGCGGTACCGAAGAAGTTGACAATCACGAGAAAAAGAGTTTCGAGTCTACACCCGGTCGATGGCTTGTCGTGGATGACACCGGTGGTCTTCTAGTAGCGGCTATGGCAGAGAGAATGGGTATTCTCTACTCGCCTGAAAACGGGGCTTCGGAAAACCAAAAGGAACCAACATCACCAAGCGCATATCAAAAGGAGTATTCACATAACCAAAAAGTTATGACAAATATGGGAGATCCTCTCTCTAAAACTAGCACCGAACATGACAACTCAACCATGGAAACAGTATCACAGGGCCACGATTCTGCAGAGCCAAAATCCCCCGAGAGTACAAGAATTTCGCATGGAGACGGGAAATCGCGATGTAACGATGTAAAGATACCATATGCGAATTCTAATACTCTTACCGTCATCCACGCCAACCAACAACCGAACCTAACCTTCCTACGCGAATATGGGTTTGATGTTACAAATCCTGCTCAACCAGCAGATCACCCCTTAGCGTCTCACTTGATGACCATATCATGGCTACAACTCGTCAAGCCGGATTTGGACTCTACTTACACTTCAGAAATGCCTAACGTTTCGTCTGAGGTGCTCCGCTCGTGGAAAGCCAATCGTCGGGGCACATACCACCGCAAGCGCCGTCGTTGGGCTAAGATTCGTCATGTTGTCGACACCACGCGGAAAGGCGAATTCTCTGGGCTGGTAATTGCTAGCACGATGGACCCTATCTCTATCATGCGTTATGCAGTGCCGCTCCTTGCCGGTGGTGCGCCAATTGCTATCTACTCGCAGACTATCGAACCTCTGACAGCGCTGGCAGATTGTTATAGCATAGCACGCCGCGCGGCCTGGGCATCAAATCCGCCAGAAGAGGCGGTGGGCAAAACCCCTCTGGAACTGGAGCAGTGGCCCGGCAACGAGGAGTTCCCATTAAATCCGGCCCTCGTGTTGGGAGCTGCTCTACAGACAAGCCGTATCAGGAAATGGCAGGTCCTTCCTGGACGGACACATCCTCTAATGACAAGTAAGGGTGGGGCGGAAGGGTATATATTCACGGCTTGGAGAGTTAGGCCTGCAGAAGGCAAGATAGAAGCTAGAGGGAAAGCTCGCACTAAGAAGAGGAAGCTCGAAGGGTCGACACAAGAATAGGTTCACAAGCAGGCTGAATAGAAACATGGCTGCATTTATCGGCGTTACGAAACTCGGTATCATAGGACATAAGGTATAGCACTCTAGCATTAGCTAGGTAGTTTCAGTCTAGTTTTCGGGTCGCATAGATTTGCGATTGATACCCCCATGACAAGAATTCTCTTACTTGACGGCTTGACAGGCTTCTTCTATATTCGATACTTGTGCGTCTTGTGTATTGTAGAGCTATTATCCCCCCTACAATGACTTGCCCATAAACTTCCTCTTTGTGAAACTTAACCACCACTTGCTCGGCTTGCCATCATTATCTTCTTCGTATACTCGAGCTAGTAACCGCGAGGCTAGCTCTTGTCGCACCTGGGAGAGATACTGTCGCAGTTGCTCGGCATCCTGCCTGTCTCGTGGTGGTTCGTAGATCTGCGTGCCGAGTTAGATTTACACTGTGAACCCCGTTGTTCCTTTATCTGAAGGGAATTATGCTAGAACGTACCTGGTTCAGGGGGAATGCGGGATCACCCGGGATGGCGAAGTTGAGGTCCAGGGCGGTGTTGAGGACCTCCTTCGTGGCGTCCCTCAGGGAGTGCTGGGGGCGGATCTTGCCGAGACACTCGCTTACGAATAGGATGCCATAGATTAACAGCCTGTCAGCCGGTCCTTGGATCTCGAAGTTACGGAAGAAGGTGTTGGCACGGAAGAGCGAGATCACTTCGTCTAGGATATCGTAGGACTCGGCATCCGGGTCGGGGCTTTCGTTGGCAGGAAGCGGTGGGTTGGGCTGCGGTAGCACGTACGCGGGACCACGGGTCTTGGTGCGGAGGGGGAGTAGAGGTAAGTTCCCAATTAGACGTGGGATGTTGGGATCATTGTTAAACATAGAGTTGTAGGCCTAAGTTGACAATGGGTCTTGTTAGCTAAGATGTGAAGATGACTCGAGGTATTAGGCTTTAGGGGATCTTAAGATAATTAGGGGGTTATCAAGGCGGTAATAAGAAAGCACATACCGGCATCTTGTCAAGAATTCACCGAGACAATAATCGGTGGTAGCTTGACAGGCCTGCAATTCTAGATGTTCTGGTACTATAGAAGGGAGCTCCTATTTCTCTCTGTTGACGCCTAGACTCACAGGGCTTGGTGCAGCTGAGGCTGACGTCCCCGTGTAAATTGTTAGTGAGAAACGTCACTACCTCATTCGGATAAATGCCGGTACATAATGCCCGACTTTGCTAAGAGTTGGGCAAGAGCTTGCATAACGTTATGGAAGTACCCCGCACTGTATAAGGATGTATCATGTACCTACCCGCCAGGTTGTACAAACTACACTAAAGATAGATGACCTGTCACTAACCTTAATTAGGCTAATAAAATGACTTGCATCCACAATCCTTGGAGCATCTGACACCAATCTTGGCAGTTAGTTCTTAACGGGATCGGGATATATGAGCTATAATTGGTTCATATTAGGTGTGGCGCTGATTGATCTAAGGCTGGAGCCTAGCCCTAACTTTATTTGGGGGCAATAGAAGATCAGGTGAATTCGCGCAACGGTGGTGACTACAACTACTTGGCCGCATTCAAATTGCCAGCGCAATCCACGTTTGTTTGCAGGTGGAATGCCCCTCTAAGTCGCGTCTTCCTCTCATCCACTCCCATCGTTCATATTACCGCCCGGTATCAGAACTGTTGCATCTTTTAAATTCACCCCTTACTTTTTCACAGTTCCGAGTTACACAATCAAATTCAACAATCAAATAGAGTTTTTTTTTTCTCCTCCTTTATTTAGTTTATTGGAGGTACTTGCTACCTATCTTTAAAACTTCATTATCGTAACGGCAATAAGTACCCGGGCGCATATCGTATCGCATCACGCTACTCCTATTTATCGAAGATACAAATACAGTTGCAGCCTCCTAAATCTTGCCTTACTTGAAAATTCAGTTCACTTTTCACTTTCTTCCAAATAACAGGTAAGTATTTTATTTTATTGTACTCTTACCTTATACTAACATCTCTTTCTAGGGGATTAGCATCCCGGTATTCCCGTTATTATGTTATCTAAAGGATCCCGCATGACGGCTTCAACGAAAGTAAAGACTAAGCGCAAGCGACTCTATCGCAGAACAAAGTGTTGCAAAGTCTTATCCCCAGGAATTGGATCACTTTACGACATCCTCCACGACTATGCTTCCACTGCACTTTATGTTCCGCCGCTGTGTTGGACTGAATTCCACACACAGGTGTTAGGTTGTCGATTTGTGCAACAACCTCCCCAGACTACACCAGTCCCCTCATCTCCATCATCTCCCTCGCGACAATCGCAACATCTTAAGGTACCACAAACCGTGGTGCATATCAGCCGTGCTCTTGACATCATCATGAAGAAGAATGTTTCTACCTACGAGCAGAACGAAGCAATGAAGAGCGTCTTAAACGACCTATTCCCTGGCCAATTATCTCCAAATGACCTCTCAAGCCTTACTATTCGATGCGGGAAAGACCGATATATGAGCGGAGTTCGGTGCCAAGCCCTGTACAAGGACCCGACTTGCTCAAGCTCATTTGAGTCGACTACTACCTACTCATCTGATGTTTCGATAATGAACAAAGGGAGAGATACCAGGGCCCCCTATAACGCACCGATACTGGCCTACCTGGATCGTGACTACCTAAACCATATTAGGAGAAACTGTTTCCGAGTATCTTCTGGCCCGAATGGATCATTCAACGGTCCTATACACCGTTTGCAAAAGATCCGATCGGAAAAGTTAATCCCGAAGAATCCGGACGAGGATCAATACATTCTCGCCACCATACTCGCAATGGCTCAACAGCATGTATATGGAGATATGTTCACAGGAGAGGGCTTTTTGCCGAAAGATGTCGATGTTCGCGTCCTGACAGTTTCGAAAGATGACAATTCGTTCGTCGTCTATTCAAGCGTGGTACCTACAGCATTTCTAACCATGTTCCACGAGCCCGGAAAATCACCACGAGGAAATGCAAAAGTTACAATCAACTATCAACATGTCCCAATATGGCCTGTTCTAGGTCTCAAAGAACGCCTAGGACAGGCCCTTGGCAGAGATCTCATTGGTGAATTCGATATAGATCGGATAGAAACCTTCGAGGATGAGCTAGCATCCAATTTAGAAGGAGACAAAAGCGACAGCTTTGATGAAAAATTACAAGCCGTGCTTCAGAAACTCAACAAGGAAGACGAGTCGATGCCCAATACAGCCCAAACACTATCGCCTAAGCGCAAAAGAAAAATCTTCTCGGAAGTCTTTAATGGAAGCTTCTCCGAGAATCACGAATCCTCCGGTTATCCAAGTGAGTTACTGGCGAAGCGCAGGCGTTTAGAGGAAGGTAGGGTTGGCATCGTCCGATAACGCAATACCGTCCCAGGTTTTTAATGAAATCATGGGGATATATGAATGGGTTACTAAGATATGGATAGGGATGAACAATGGGCCGGTAGTACCGCCGCCGGGTATATCATGGTTTTTAGAAGGTTCCCCGGTGTCCAATGATCAGATACCAGAGCAGTAGGAACCTTCTTGGAGTATTTCGGGGTGTATCGTGGTTTAGGGGATGCGAGAGAAGGATATATCCAACAGCTCCGTACAGTGGGCAGACAAGCTGTCAGGGTTTTATTAGCCACAGCTAGCCTCGTAGCTTATACAAGGCGGTTGTTATTATGCGACAATGATTACGACGATACGAGACACTCAGACGTACCGGCTTTGCCTCCGATCTAAGAGGGATGATACGCAACAACATTTGCTTAGCATATTGGCGCACTACATTTTGTCGAAGCAGACAAATTGCCTCTACATATTGTGTTATTAGGGTTGCCTACATAGAATCATAGCTTCGAAGAAATCTTACGATTTTACCAGCCTCGCGGTTGGGACCTCCACAAACCTACAATTTGACAACTAGTGGTTTATTATTCACAATATGATGGAAACCTCACGTTTTTATCACGGACGTATTGTGTTGTACTACTCTATTCCTTCTGACTTCACTATTTAGATAATCGTCCGATATTGTTACTCAGAAATCTCAAACATGCAGCCTATAGTCACCATATCTGTACCACAACCATCTAGTCAGACCCTAGATGTCCATGTAGAATGGCGATTCTTGGCCCAATTCACCCATTGAACTGACTTTGAAAACCAGTGACTTGTGTAGGGAAGGTATCATAGTCCACTGTCATAATGATTCAAGTCACAATTTATGTGCCTTGTAGATGATAGCAGTAGTACACTATTTAACCCACCAGGCATCCTTTGCCTATCCCTCCTTTCTTTAAAACGCAACATCAATCTACTATTGATAGGAACCTGACTAAATATTCAACTAAACCTTCTCGCGTATCTTTTTGATACAGCAACAAATTCTATCAGATTCCAGCATCATCTTTAAGAAGTATAACCGATTATCGGCGACTTGATATTATACCATCAACATGTTATATACCACGAAACTTATACCCCTCTTGTTCAACTCGGCCAAAGAGGTCCGCTCTCATTTTGGAGATCCGGAGCCAAAAGCTCCTACGGATTCTCATATACTTAGAGATGTTACTGCTATGTTAGGGGGCATCATTGGGCAAGGGAAGCAGGCTACAAAATCATCCGCTGGAACCGAATGCAAAACCCAAGGCTTGACATTCGACAGTCTACCATTCGATGTGAAATTTTCTATCTTCGAAATGGTTGGCTCATTGCCAAGCTGGGTCTACTTCAGATACAAAAAGGGGAAACTTGTTGAGCTTTGGGGTGGTAATCGGGAAGTCTATGTCAACGAAGAATGGCACGAATCTCGCCAGTTACGAAGGGGCCTGAGCACTCTCAACTTCTTGATCAGCAAACCAGCTGGTGCAGATATACTCGCCGAAGGTGTTCTCCGCCTCCTTTCAAAGGATGAGCCTGGTGTTAGAAATCTACAAGAACGACATAGGGGCGACCCACGCTTTTCTGTTCGAAACAACGACCAAGTCAACCCTATACTTACGAGAAGAGAGATAGACTGGTTCTTCTTCGACAACTGTGTCAATATGGTGCCCAGTGGTGGTAATTGGTCTATGCCTCATTATATTCACAGTATTCGAATCTGTGTCTTCGGGCTCGACACAGTTTTTCATAAATCCTGGAATCCACCTCCTGATTTTATATGGCCCCGATGTTCACACGTCGAGGAACTTATAATCCTAGTCGGTAGATTTCGGAAAGAAGTTCCACCGTCAAGAATGAAGGTAATTAAAGCTTTCCAAGCTAACCTGGCGACCTTCAAGGATACGCTATCCGAATATGATGATGAGATATTCGAGCATGAAGATACACGATACGAAAAATACCTTCTCAGATCTGAGAAGTATATGATTGGAGAAATTAGCAGACGTTGGTGCTTGGCCTTCTTAAATAAGCATCATCGCAGGCATAAGTGGTTGGACGATGAAGATGGCTTGCGGTGGCTTGCCTACCCAGTACATGACGACAAGAATGAACTTTCTATTTGGTTGGCAACCCCTGAAGGACACGACTGGCTTGGGCATGATTGGCATGAAAATTCTCAGCCAGGGTTCCGGTTCCTCGCATCGGAATCCGGTTGGTGGTGGTTGGCGTCTGATTTTGGTTTCCCATGGCTAGAAACCGAACAAGGGCTAGGCTGGCTTGGTACTAAGAAAGGCCAAAAATTTCTCAAAAGTCGACAAGCCTTACTTTGGGCAAACACTAGTACCTACAACCCATCAAGCCTTACACCTCTTGGAACACAAGTTCGGAAAGCCTGGTTCAATACGGTTGCGGGAATAGAATGGAAATTCCACAATTGCCCTGACGGAAACCCGCCGGCGCCCCCACAACCACCTCAAAGGGACTCAAACCCGCCTCCGAATGTGGAGTTTCCCACTCACTTCAAAAATCCGCACTTTCGAGGATGGCGTTTTGTTATTTGTCCGGAGGAAATTTCTGAGAGGGCAACAAGCCGTCGAAAATAAGGCCAAGGAGAAATGAGAGTAGTTAGAGGCCGTAATACTTAGGCACTTTGGGTAAGGTTGAGCTATTTCGACTTAATTAGATAGTTACATCTTTAGATATCATATCGTCGTCAACTCCGTTTATGTCTCTAGTCATATTTCGTGTATAGGTGGAAAAGTGAAGAGACAGATCTCACTGAAGCCCTTCTTCTTTTCTAGAAAATATTACCAATAACCTTATTATTTATCCTGTGATTGGGACCCCAGGCATCATCAGTAAGAGCATTCTACCGTACAATGCATGCGTATGTGTAAATTTAAAACCAAGTTTAAGAGACTAGGGGTCGTTGAATCATACTCGTTCTCTTTGAGGTAATTAATATCCTAGTCTTGTTACCCAAAGGATGAATAACTTATCAGTTACCTACCTGATTAACTAAATAATTTGTTAAGAAAAGGGGCTAAATTTTCTATTAGGAATGCAGTCATAATTTTGCTACCCATCTCGAATAGGGGGGTTAGCTTTTCACGAGGCGGACGATCTTAATATTGAACGAGACTTACAGGAGAAATATTTTTACTAATTCTCTAAGAAATGATACATGTGTTTTTTTAAGAGCACGAGGTTAGAATAAAAATACGTACTAGCTTATCTTACCTAGTAGACTTCGGTGTGATATTCTCGTATACAGCATCAGCCATCAAAATAAAGACGCACTTAACTGGTAATAAACTGAAATTAGAGTGATATGTGGCAATATATCTCGTATAAAATACAGGAAGTCTTCCCGTGAAACATACAGGAACATAAGATTACTTACACCCCAATATATGGCGGGTTGTATGCATCTAAAAGCGCAACATGAAGCCCGAAAGAGGAATATCGAAGGCTCCATGTGACCAATCAGGCTGACGCCCGCACTATCGCTTAACGTAGTATGACGCCTTAGAACCTCGTATTCCATTAACTCCCTTAGAAGCGAGGACGGTTGAAAGCTGCACTGGTGATAGGAAACGTAGCTATATTGAGCCGAAAAGGAGAGGTTTTAGTATAAAAGCTAGGTTATCTACCACCATGTCTCTTGTCTTTGGAATAATATCGTCAAGACAAAAAACACCATAGGCAACGCTTAATACGCTGATAAAAATGGCTCGCTCGCTTGTTCTCTTTGCATCGGCATTTGGCTTAGCCTTGGCGCAAAGCAACTATCCAAACCAATCTGCACCTTTCAACCTCGTCCTGTCAAGCGACAATAGCACCCTGGATGGCCTTAAGCTCACCGCTTGCCACTCTGGAGCCGCCGTCGAGTCATTCTGTCTCGACGATGCCGTCGAAGAGCCCGAGTTCCAGACATTCTTCTTCAACGGCTCAGCCGAAGCGCCCTCAGACCCTAAGTACCTACCTTCCGGCCTAATAACATGGACTTTCACCGGTGGCCAGCCGCCTTTTACTGAGAGCACGGCAATGTCACTCATGTATAACCCAGCCTCCAACCTCGCATTTCCGCTCATTTGGCCCAGCAGCGACACCGCTCAGCCTGTTTCGTTCACTGAGGATGAGCTCCTGGCCGTGGCGGCCAACATCGACGACGCGGTCTCACCGCCTGAGCCGTTTGAGAACTATATCACTTATTTGACCGATCGCTGGGCTGTGTGCACGACGTATTGGCAGGGGTACGGATATGTGGCGCTGCAGTATGTCCTAGGCAAGGAAGGGCCGCAGAACCCCAGCTGTCAACGGGTAACGGTTAAGAGGGTCTTTTTAGAGTCATGAGAGACATTAGGACGCCGGCGAGCTGAATCATGCCCTAAGCAACCTGGATCAGGTTATATAATACGCGGATAATATTATCTTCATGTACCCTTCTTAGATACGTAATTCTATTCGCTAATTATTATTTTACCATACCAAAAGACTATCGTAAGTAGTAAATTATGAGCGGCATTTTGATTACCATATGAATATCGAAATGGAGAATGAACCATAGAATCTTAATATATCTATAGGAGAGGTCCCCTAAATGATAGCAACATTAGAATAAACCCTAATCAAATACCATACCATACGCCTAACCCCTATCCATACGCCATTGAAGTTACGTATCAAATCAATTTCCCGACCAGGCCCCCATAGCAATACCAATGCCACCCAATGTTTCGACGTGAATATTTATTCGACGTGTCTCAAGGTCTCTGACAACTCTTATTCTGTCTAAAGCAGCCCTTGCTCATGCCGAGCGAGTCCGGAGCATCACTCAAGCCCTGAAATACGTCGTCCAAGTTGAAGCTGAAGTCAGAAACGCCGCACGACTTTCCAATATAATCGCTGAAGAATGAGATAGCATCAAGCCCGTTCTCCACGAACGTCTTAGCACCTTCGACAGCTTTCTGGACCGCGGTCACAGATGCGCCTCCAGGCACAGCGTCAAGGCCTTCCTCGACGAGGGTCGTCACGGCCGATAGCACCACGGCGCATATTACATTGTCTAGCTGCGAAAGCCCCTGAATAACCACATCAAGGAATGCAACGGCTCCTGAGAGGTCGCAAATACACTCGCCCGGCGTGAATGCGTTCCCGTCGTCGTCTTTGTCTATTGTGCTAGGATCTAATTTGTCTGTAGGTACATCTGGACCTTTGCACTGCAATTAAACCCTATATGTTAGTCTCATTTCGATTTTGCTATGATTAGAGCAAGGGATATCACATACACCAACGGCGTTTGGGTCTGACCCCGGATTTTGCGCCGGGCAAAAGATTTTACATGGGGCGAGCTCTTTCTCTGTGTTTCCAGCTCCGAGGTATGAGAGACAGATGCCTATCCTCCCAAAGTTGGCAATGGTGTCGGCATCTGAGCGAGGAATAACCGCAGCAGAGGTCAAGCCTAACAGCCTAACCAAAACTGTAGTATATAGGCACGCAGATAGTAAAGTGGTCTTCATCGTGAGGAAATATTAGACGTTAAGAACTAGTAAGATAATATAAGGAATATTTAAGGCCAATAAAAGCTGAGGTGAATCTTTTCGAGATGGATATGTCTTTAGTGTGTAGTTCTGCTTTTCTTGACAGCGGTTTCGAGTTCGTGGGTATGACGGCTTTAATAGACTACACAGTTAGTTAAAGGTAACTGCTTGACAGGCTCCCTTACTTTAGCAAAAGGGAAACATTAAATCAGTCTACTTATATGACAGTCATTAAAAGAATCTAAAAACAAATCAGTTATACGTCAACGCCTCCTAAGTCGAGGGCCTTAACTATAGCTCGTGTGAATAACTAGCACGCATGCATTTATCTATTTTCAATCATTACACCACGTGCCTGCGCCTCATCAGCTGGGCCATCTGGTCACGGCCAACAGCAAAAGGGCGCGCCGGAGAGGTGTATACCCAAGGGGAATTCTACCGGGATGGATTATATCCGGAGTTATCTATATAAAAATCTAGAAGACGACTCTTAATAAGAACGCCAAGAACTACCTACAGACATGAGGATTGGTGGTTATACATGATAAGGCTTTTCCTGCCCTCTGGGTTGGGTATGTTGACGAGATAGGGGACCAACAGCGATAGAACTAACACGTCGGCCATTGTTTCGAAACAAATCCAGCTGATAGCTGTTGAGCTGCCGAGCCTTACTTGATATCAGGCGCTTATAGATCGGATGTCGCATCTCCCGCGAACGGGATATCCTGAAATAGAAATCGGGGGGATACCGCACCGCCTGATTCGCCAGTCAGCCGCATAGCCCCCGAGAACGGCAGCCCATATATCTGTCCCTCACTGTAGCTCTTTATTTATATTCACTGCCTTCCGGAATTTGACCATTCCGTTTGTTGGTCCCGTAAAACTATTAAACAAACTTTCATCTATTTTTCATAACGAAGCGAGCCACGCGTGCTTTGCAGGTGACAAATCACATATCTTCGTGCCAGTGCGGCCTCCAATCGTTATTGAATGAGAAAATTTGTGGCCTTTGATCAGTAGGACACGGTATAGGAATGAATATTTCACACGACAAGACGAAGGGGAAAAGCCACGGTATATCTTGGCGGAACGCTACTTGCTAGAGATCTCATCTGCTTCTATGATTGCAGTGTTTAGACGGCAATGAAGCTTGCTTATTTGATATCACCATACACCATAGACTTAGTATTCTCTTCGAATATATATTGGGGTAACTAGATGACTAGGATTGAGGGACTATTATCATATACCTCGGCTCTACCCCTTATTGCCCGCTTCGCAATGAATAGTTATTTTCATAAAACTCCTATAAGCTCTCAAGCCCCATTCGCGAAACTTGCGCCTCCAACCTCCTTATCAAACTCAACGCAAGCCGACAGTCCGCACAGTTCGAACACATCCCTCACACCTCCATCGATCTTCCCATCTTCCTTATACCTATTCTTTATCTCACCCGTGCTCTTCAGTTCCTGGCAGAACTCGCGCATGGCGATGTATACGCTTGTCATACCGGCTATAGGCCAAAGGACAATCTTGTATCCTAACTCCTTCGCCTCCCGCGCGTGGACCAAAGGTGTGACGCCACCGCTGACCATGTTTAGAAGACACGGGGTAGGCGCCATATCCTTAACAACCTGTGCCATCTGCTCTTTCGTCTGCATCCCCTCCAGAAACGCTACATCGGCACCAGCTTCCACGGCGGCTTTTAATCTGCTAACCGCCTCCTCGTAGCCCCGCGACTGCAGCGCGTCGGTGCGCGCAATAATGACGATATCCGAGCCCATACGCGAGCGCGCAGCGGCAGCGGCCCGGATGCGAGCTACGAATGTAAGTGTATCAACGAGCTCCTTCCCGCCGAGATGTCCGCAGCGCTTAGTCGTCACTTGGTCCTCGATATGAAATGCTGCTACCCCCTGGAGAATGTACTTCTCGGTGGTACGGGCGACCATCAGGGGTCCGCCAAACCCAGTGTCAGCATCTGCGATCACCGGAACAGCACGGTCGAGGCCCGCGATCATTCCGGCATTCGTCGCCATATCGTCGACGGTTGTAAGACCGAGGTCCGGCTGCCCGAGGCGGGATGCAGCTGTTCCTGCGCCCGTCTGACCCGAAGTCAGTCCAAAGATATTCGGGAAAGAAACCCACTGGCTTGCGGCTTGGGGAGGCAAGGTCCTACCATGTACAATGCGTCAAAGCCTACGTTCAGCGCCACGCGTGCCGTAAGTCCATCATGTACGCCCGGACATATAACGGTCTTTTCCGGATCAGCAAGCATCTGCCGGAGCTTCGTTGTAGACTTAGTCTGGGCCATTGGGGATAACCGATACGGAATGGCAGTTTCGTAATCTACAGCGCGCGATTGTCTAAATTGCCGTAAAACGAAATCTTCCGTAAATACTAGGTACCTAACTTTGATTCACCGAGTCTAAGACGCTTATTTGCATCTACATCATATCATATAGTATCTAGCCTAGAAACTTTTCATCTTCGCCTCTCCGTCCTCGGAACGCCCGGTTCATCTGGAACTTAGGACCTTTGCTCTTTAAAAGTACCCGCTTTATACTTGCGCGGACTGGATCCAAAGGACCACTACGATTGCTATTTAGAGAGCGGATTTCCCCGGAAATAACACACCTACCTCAGGGACCGTAGGTAAGTACGTAACTCGGAAGATTTATAATTTTTGACAGATTCCATTGTGACTTACGTAGACTATCTCAACCGCCACTTACCGGCGACGGCGAGCTGTCATAAGAGGGCATACTGCCGGATGTGACCGTTTCAGTCTGCCACCTAAGCTCTTCGCTAGGATATAACTATTTATAATTCATGAGAAAGATGAACCTGGTATGTGTGTGTTTGTGTTTGTGTATATTCCGTACCACGACTACCTCTTTACTCATAAGTTGTTGGTTATGAGACCGTTTCGTGTAAAGACTAGGGGTAGGTTCGTGTCGCACTGACGACTTGCTGTCACAGAAATGGGTAGACTTCCTTGTAAATGATCACTTCAATCATACGAGTCCTTTCATCGAATATTTGTTGATGCTTACAATATTATGAGTAATAAAGAGTGTTATGATCGGGATGGACGAGCTATCCCAGCAAAACTTTTTAACCCTTTGGAACTGGTTGAGAATAAATAGGTGTAATCGACATAGAAATTGAATCGATAAAATTATCTACATACATAAAAAAAGTAAAAGCAAACTCAGCTCAAGACTTAAATCGTGTCTGAGATGGAGAAAAATGAATGCATGAACGGGGAGTCGAACCCCGAGCTCAACCTTACAACTGGAAGATGGAAGGGTTGAATGTTACCGCTACACCATTCATGCTTAGATTGTTGAAATATTCGCCAACTATTTTAGTATATATCTCCAGCTCTGTGTGCGACACCGGTTAACCTAATCGTCTCAACTAGGGTTGGCTATTAGAGTACCCCATATTTAGACCAATCAAAAGTGGCACTTCGGGTGATAGTTTCTTGTACATGTTACCCACCTAATGATTTATGCCCCTTGAGAGAATATGGCGTCAGCAGCTCTAAATTAAAAAACGGAGGGAGTATCTTAGACTAAGCTGAATGATTCTTCAACCAACTCGTGAGCCCATTTAGAGTAGTTATGTTAATTGGTCCTTGCTTTTATTCTGCTGCTAAATGCTCGCCATCAATCCTAGACAGATACTCTTACGGGTGCTGGGCCCGGGTATGTAAACATACCTAGTTCTCCGAGGAGCCGTATGAACTCGCGTTGCTCTATACACATCTCCTAGAGTTAAAGCTTTGGATAAAAAGGAAGTAACTATTGGGTTGTTATGTGGGTCTTAGATATAGTATGAGAGACTTCTACCTAGGTATGTATCTATTCCGTAGGGATGAAGGCAATAGTGAAATGAGGGCTTTTGTTATGGCTTTATTTCACTGCATTAGGATTATGAGTTCGTTGCTTGATTTGACTAAAGTCCCGGATGTTATAATATAATGAATCAGATGTTTAATCCATTAGTTCTCTATTTGATTAGTAGGATACTCCGTTTCAATTTCTGATTTATCATTAAAGCTTAGATATCCGCGTGCGTAATCCGTTTCGGAATCCAGCCCCACGATTATAGAGATAGATAGCTCGGCTTTATATGTGCATACCTAAGGCATTGAATTGTAGATTGCTACCTAGGAGTAAGGGTAAAGTGTAAGCATAACAGGGCAATGTTTGAATATTAGAGATGTTCCGCCTAGGAACTACCTGATTATCGGAAGAGAATAAGACGATTTCCTAGGCGCGATGTATGTAGATCGGCTCACACTTCTCAGCTAAAATGATGCGATTTACTCAACCACTCCTTGGAAATTGATAAATGTAAATAAGCCGACCCTGGACTCGGAACGCATAATAGTCATAGTCACATGAATATATAATCAAGCGAGAAAGATGTAGGCGAAAGGCCTCACGGTAGTTAGTAGCAGACTAAGAAGCATTGTCGTCATCGCCACGGAGAATAAACAATATGCTTAGCTGCGTAGTTTCAGATACATGTGTTTTAGCCCCGAGCACGTGGCGCTTGTCTAGCCTGGTTATTGTTCTGTTACAGCTGCTGAATACCTACCCGCAATTATAATTGCATGTAGCCATGTACACTATCACACTAAAAGGCAGATAATTTCCCATATTCCCGGCGGCTCTCGTGGAGGCAAAGAACCGGACGGGGTTCTTAGATCTCTAGCCGTCGGAGTACAAGTACATTTGTCTACATAGGTAAAGGATCTGCGTATTATTAACTGAAGCACAATGGATGTATGTGGCTGATCGTTCTTGGCTATAAAAACGCTAACAAGTCTTTAGCGGGGGGGTTGGCAAAGAAGCTATGAAAAAGAACGGAAATTCCCACGATTGTAAACCATGGCCGTAAACTAGGGGCCAAATCTTTCAAAAGAATGGATGAAGGTCGCGTGTTCGTCTCCGCTGGAGATGAGATTAAATATCACTTGATGAGGGGTTATTGCCTACCAGTTTGGGGTACGGCTTGCGTGATGATCAACGGCGGGATAGGAGTGTACTTGTGATGGCCTTCTCAATAAGGTTGCTTGGCGTTGGATCATAGATCACCTTAACCTCAATCGAGTCGGTCCTTGTTCGACGTCCTTTTCTACGTTTCACATTTAGGCTCTTGGCTTTTGGACACACCGGTGGCTAGTAAGACGACGCCGCCCGTCTAGCTTCTGAGCTTGGCGGAAAGCACATAAATAGCCCACTGCCAAGTGTTGGTTAGTATGGTTGACGGCTTTCGTCTCTAAAATAGTCATTCAATTCTGCTCCTCCTGAACTATTCGTTCCTCTTGGGCTATTGTAGGATGACTTGGCAGTCTTACATGGAAAATGTTTTCAGAGACACTAATAAGAAGTTGCGAAACGGTGATAGAGATTCCGACTTAGGGAGAACCGGCTGCAAGGAGCCTTCGGATCACTTAACTCTTCGGATCACTTAACTAGTAGGCCGAATTTGTTACACCTGGTCGGCCTGGTCGGTTGGCGGGATACAGGCTGCCGGGCTCTTTTTACCGAATCTGAATGCGATCATCGTTGAGATCTTCAATATCCCCGTCGACCATCCCTAGATTTTGGCCTGTTAGCGGTAGTGTTGATCCGGAGCATAGTCTCTTGGTCCGGTTCTTCTCGGTTCTTTCAAGGGGCTTACCGTTCTACTAACACAACCGGAAGGTCAAGTAGTACAATCCCTCCACATAGAACGGCAAGCCAAGCCTTAGGTCGGGTCCAAGCCGTGCAGTCGTACATTTGGAGCCGAGTAACCGTGGAAGCTTACATTAGTTGCATCCGTCCAACCTAGTGTACTTTGGCAATATCACACTTGTCCACCGTTAGAAGCTTAATTGCAAAGCCAGACAAAAGCTGTATATTAGATGGGTTAAGGATCGAGGCTGGTCGAATAATAAAATGTCCTTGATGCCGAAGTCTGAATGTTTATGCTTACCATAATCGATTAGTATACTATCACCCTACTTCACTTTGCTTCTTACTCTTCCTCTACTCAGCTTTGCAAGAATCTATGATCATATTTGAGTATACATTAGACATGTCACGGCGGCTGTCTGCGCAAGAAATTGTAAGGTCTATCAACAACAGCCAATCATGTTGGCATATCGGCAATTAAGCCATTGATTAGGCATATTGTGACGGGTTTAGGCGTGTAAATTCCCGCCACAGAGAATCTATCAGCTACAGACGCCAAGACCCTTTAATCACCAGCAGGATGTGCCATGCAAAAGCGGTAAGTTCCAAATTGCCGTTACTTCCCGATAGCGAGTATATTCATACTGTCGGGTTGAAGCGATATGTAATAGAGATATAAGCTTCTTTTTTTATAATACCGTGATATTGAGCAAAGCCGCGGCGCTTCTAGAAGCTCTAGACAGTGAAGGACAATTTCGTGATAACGCGACCTATGTGGAAAATATCCTATTTTTTGTGCGCCCGTCACACTCATCATTATTATTGTAGTATTTACGGGCGTCGAGGTTCAAGTTCTCCCCCAATGTGGCATCGCGGATAGGTAGACTAGCGGAATCGACCCCTGATCTGCAGCCCACATTATGAATGCCGAGAAGATAACGGCTTGAGTTCTCATAATATTTGTTTTCTTCCAATTTTCTATTTCGCACCGGGATATGCGAACAGGTATCCATCGCGTTGTAGTGGTATTGCAAGTATCAATTCGATTAATTACCGCTTATCCTGGCATTTGCTATTTGATATCATTGAAAAATGAATTCTCATTAGGAAGACAGTGATGGAAACGCCAGTCCTGTTTAAGACATAAATACTACTGGCAGCAGATGAAAAGTGAAAAATGCTTAAGCGGGTTGGCAGGATTGACGTAATTGCTGCAATCTCACCGAACTGGACGATGACTGGCGAGACATTCGAAACGATAGACCCACAGCTTACGAATGCTGGCCTGTGCTACCCCTGGTGATGGTGGTTAGGGCGGGCTGGGAGCTGGGAACATCGAGACAAACGACGTAGTGATCTTCATTAAGTACATGACCGAGCGGAAAACCCTTTCAAGGAGCGGAAAGCCTTTTCAAGGATTTCCTGACTTGGCTAGCCGGGATCTGACTTTTTACATACGTACTATGTACGTGTAGTACGAAACAGATAAGATGAGTTCTGTTGAAGTCTGGGTTAGAATCTGGAAAAGAAAGTTTATGAAGCAAGGGAATAAGCTTTTCTATTCTCGTGTCTAGACCTCAACTAAAGTAATTCGTCTCATATCCAAATGAAAAAGTAACTAAAATAAGATACGCGTAACCTTTCTACTTAAATATGCCAACGTTAACCTTACTGTCTTTGACGGGGCCAAAAGTATGGTGGTTGATGGGACGGGACGCAAAGGTACATTTTAGTCACTTTACTTACATGACAGGTTACCGACTATAATATGGAAAAATCAAAGCCTGCAGCGG